CTTCTGTAGGGGGTGGTAGCCCAAGACCCGAGTTGAATTGCCCACATGGGTGCAGTATGTCATTCCTTTTTCTGGTGGCCCCAGCCTGACATTGCTGGAATACCACTACTAAAAGCAGCATAAAACCTCACTCACTCACTCACTCACTCACTCACTCACTCACTCACTCACTCACTCACTCACTCACTCACTCACTCACTCACTCACTCACTCACTCACTCACTCACTCACTCACTCACAAATACTTTGGCATATTATTAGTGGAAGGTATTCACAAATATTGTCATTAATTATTGTGGAGTGGCTGCCTTTGTTTACATTCTAGACAAATGACTACAATCATGTCTAGGTGAGCTTCAGCCCGGTAGCACTACATTTTTCGTTACCTAACAATCACTGTAAACCTGCGCATATTTATATAACAAATATAGTGCTTACCGCTTTAAAATCCATTGGACTCATGTTTGTATTTGAGAATTAATTGATGAGTAAAAATCCATAACACTACTGGAGATTATGAAGCAAGGATGGTGTCCGAGAAGAATGTCATGACACGGTGTCGGATTGACATTGATTACATCTTCGGAGACAGATTGATAGCAGTTATCTCCAGCTGCATATTCAGCCAATGGCTATTGTTGCTGCCTCCAGTTGGTCGATTCTGCTGTCGGGCATAATTCACATTTCTTAGCATCTGTAGTGGTTCTACCTGGCCTGGATGTCAGTCTGGTTAAGCTAAGTGGACAAAAGTACCCCAAAACACAATGGATTAATATCTGGAAGGAAGTGAGACTCAGAATTTGATGAAAAAACATGTATGAATATTGAGGTGTGGAAAAAGGAAATTTATTTAAATTGTTTTGGGCAAATATGGTTGCCGATCAATCAATCAAAACTGTTTGAAAGCAAATATCTGAGAGTTTTGTGGATGGGAAGTTTTTTGTTGCCAAATATTTTCTGAAGAATATGCAAAATAAAGAAGGTTCGACATTCTATTTTGGGAATTCATTGCTTAATGTGAGCTGATTATGGCTCTCGTAGGAGTGAAATATTAGACAAATGTATTTCTTGAAAAGACGGTTTAATATGACTGTTGTAATCTTGTTTCATGCACCTTCAAACTGAGTGAGAGGATAATAATAATAATAAGAGTACTTTTTACACATCACACATCCACATCACTGAGGGATGCCCCAAGCGCATACAAGTCACAGTTCATTATTACCCTGAATAACACAAGCTGTGAGGCACAAGAAGGTTATAGTCACATGACTTATCCCACCGGGTACCCTCTTTCTGTTGGGGAGACCACATGTATCACCTGTGCTTCGCTGTGGGGCAGAACTGTAGTCCTAGAAAGTCTCAGGAGTCAAGCTGCTGTGATATTGCTGGAATATTGCTAAAAGCAGCATTAAACCATACTCACTCACTCACTCACTCTGCACAGGACCAGACACTAGGATTTAAGGGATACTGAAAGCCCCTTATGAAAAAAACCCTGATTGTAGTGAAACTGTCAAAACTGGTAACAAACTGTAGTGTTTCTGGTTATCGACGCGGGTTGTGCGTTCTGTAGACACAGCTGTGGCACCTGGTCTGGTGCAGCTGCTATAGGTGGTGTGATATATCATCAGAGAAAAATAGTATTGTCCATGTCACAGCCTGATGTACAAAGACATGATTCTCTTGCATCGGGGGACTCCCTTTCTTGCTCAATATCAAACAGCATCCTTCAGCAGGAAGGGAGTGCTTGCGTTATTGTTTTCATGTCTGCTGCCCTCAAGGAATGTTTCAATATGATGTATCATTTTTCACATTATTTTCTGTTGAAACAAAATTTGCTTGATAAATTGTGAATAAATTAGTGTTTCTTGTATAAAATTACCCTGCATGTATGAATCTTCAATGTTTTAGTTACCATGAAAGAATGTCCAAGATATTTTTATGGATTAAACTTCTTTTTAATTTCCCTCTCAACGTTTCTACGTGTAAGAGATAATAATCTACAGCTTTATGGCTCCATGGAAACGTCATGAGGGAAATTAAAAAGAAGTTTAATCCATAAAAATGTCTTGGATATCAATGTACAACTTCTAAATGCCACTGAAAGACGTGGAAGAATGTGTTTTGTTTTTCTTTCTAACATATTGTTTTTCTTGTCAAAAAAGCAAGACTGAATAATCACATTTGGTATAATACAGAGCTGTGGGCAACAAGGAAGAACGAGTTTGACACATTCATTTGATATTCAATCTGTTCATCCATATGTGGTAAACAATTAAGAATTTTGTTCCGTGAAACTAATTAGTGCCATCACATGTGCCTGTGTGTAAGAGATAATAATCTACAGCTTTATGGCTCCATGGAATGACATTGACAATGTTCACGTTTACCGGTAATTACCCTTTTTTTCACCAATAATTACCTATTTTTACAAGTATTATTGACACTGTACCAGTAATTTGTATGCCTCTCAGTCCCCAGAAGGATTGATAACGTATCTTGCAAACATGAAATAGAATTGAACTGAAATTCAAAACGTATTAAAAAATATTCAGTTTGCTTGTGACCAGTTATATAACACCATGAGTCTATGTATAGCACATAGCCTGGAACCAAACCAAATTTCAACATTACGTTTTTGCTTTGCTTCATGGTTACATTAGGCAATACAGCTTGCGCAGCTTGACCTGACCTACTCTACATATGCATGACCCAGGAGGTCAAATGGCACAAGCGGCAGATCGGGTTATCTTCATTAAATAGGGGTGCAGAGAATGTTATTAATGTTGCTTTCGTGCGAAGCATGCATACATAGATTCGTTACAGAATTTATCCCGGAAAACAACTTTTCTGAAAGAAAAAAGGATTGGCAAACCTAGCAACAGTTATTAAATAAAGTGCAAAAATGATGTATCCTAAAAGTCAGTGAGTGATTGTGAAAGTATAGTTTGTGCTGCTTTTAAGTGCTAATAGGTAAACAGTTGCATACCCATCTCATCCTACAGGGTACCCATTTACTGCTGTCTGATCTGGCATATTCCAAACAAAGTCACTTGAAGAAGATGCTACCCCATATGCTGCGTGTGCTTCTGCCTGGAGCAAGACCAAGCTGCTGGGAGCCAGACTCTCAAGAGTTTTGACAGCTTCGGTCCTGCCCCAAACTGAAGTTCATGTCCAAATTCTGTACCAAGTAGCATATCTGAAGTAAAAGAGCATTACATTTTTGTGGATTCAGAAAATCTCTGAAAATGTTATGAACATGTTATGTTTGCTTACCCTGGAAAGTTTTTATTCCAAATGTGTTAAAATTAGTATAAATAGAACCACTTGTTTGTTCATGCAATGCTTTTATTTGCTTTAAGTAGGGTATTTTGAATTAGGGGAAATTTATGTGGAAAATAAATTCATTGGGAAGGAAATAAAGCTTGTAATGATATCAGAGTTGTAATTATTGTAATTATCTTTTGTTTTACCACAGCTACAGATTACTTTCATTTCAAAGTCAGAAACCACATATTCGTTTGGATGAGGTGCTGTGTCACACCTTCATTTCAAATTTAACTATTTAAAATATGTACTTGACACTATTATATCTATGACTAAAATGGAGTAAAAAAACCACCCAGTTTCATCAGTTAGTTGATGATGGGGCGGTGGGGTAGCCTAGGGGTTAAAGTGTTCGATCGTCACGCCCAAGACCCAGGTTCAATTCCCCACATGGGTACAATGTGTGGAGCCCATTTCTGGTGTCTCCTAGCATGATATTGCTGGAATATTACTAAACGTGGCGTAAAATTGAATTCATTCACTCACTTGTCTCATGAAAAAAGTGGGTGTTCTTCAACATATTTTGAACAGCCAAGATTTACTTGACTAATTTATCACATGTTTATAAAATATGATGAAAATGACAACTCCAAAACATTTTGTAAGTTGGATATCATAATAATTACCTTCAAGTATGGAATTTTTAAATCTGAAGTGAGAGAAATTATGATGCCCTAACTGAAATCATGGAGACATTGATTCCCTCAACACTTTCAAATGTCACACTTAATTCACCATAAATTGAGTAGGTCATTTTGATGGGGGTGGACTCCTCCTTTGTCCACTCAGTCCTATATTTGTGATCCATGAGGATGTGGCAATTGATGAGCAATATATTCCCGTAGTTTTATGATTTTCCTGGTTTAATGTCACATCCTACTTCCTCCCACACTGGCTGCTGCTGTGACATTTCCGCCTTGTGACATTCCCCTTAATGTACCGTCCCCCTCACCACTGATTCTGAATATGGACCACAGGCTCTCTGCGTCAGCTTCACGTAGGAAATCTCCCTTCTGGATTATTTAAAATTTGCTTGAGGGACAAGCTGGAAATTTTTATCAGGGAGCAGATAGAAATTTGTATTTGGGAATAGTTGGGAATTTGTATTTGGGAATAGTTGGGAATTTTTATTTGGGATAACAGTTTAAATATGTTCATAATCAATGTGTTTGTGACAAACTGATGGATATAACAAATTGATTTTTTGGTTCTGGAGGTTTGCTGAATATTTTGGTCAAAATGTTTTCTGACCAACTACAGTTATAACAAACTGAAATTATTGGTTCCATTGAGTTTGTTATGACCATAGTTACCGTCGTTGACTTTGTTTTAGTGACAGGTTAGGATTTTTTATTATGGTCTATTTTGAAATGTGTATGAGGGAATTTGTCTTAGGACTTGTTAGAAACTGTATTATGTACAAGTATGATCTTTCATTAATCCAGAAAGGAGTAACCTTTTTGCTGTTAACATTCTGGTTATGAATATTCATATATGAATTAATGGATTCTCATTGCTACAATTACAGCAGATTGTCAGTTTTCCAAAAACTTTCTGTCATTTGTGATTGATCTCCCACGTCCAGACTTGAAATATCATTGATTTTATTTTTATTTCAGACATGTCTTTCAGGGAAGAGTTAATTACATTTTTGTAAAATTTTATTTCAGCGTTTTAGGTGAACTAGGCGAAATGTCAGTAATGGCGTCTTATGGTGCTATGAATTTTATCAACTATTTCACTGATTTGTAAGTGAGGATATTTCCAGTCCTCTGAAACCGTCGGCATTTGGGGCCTCTCCTCTTCCTGCGGCCTGTTCTCACTGTCAGCAAGGCTCTCCTCTCACATCTTGACATCTTACTGTTGCTGCATACAGAGCATGATATCAATATGAATTGTCGCAGTTAAATAACACTATGAATACTCTTACTACAGTTATGTCATGTGTGTGGGAATTATATTGCATACCCATTTAATGTTTCGATAACAGTACAGCTGTGCAATATGGCGAGCTAAGGAGATTCATCAGTATTGCACTCTGATTTCCGCATTGCATGTATGCCCGGATCTTGAACTTCATTAATTTTCAAAAAACATTTGAAAGACTGTGTGATCTTTAAAGAGTGTCTCAAATGAAATCTTTGAAACATCATACTTATTAAATGGAACTTGTTCTCTGTCAAATATTTTGCTGTTTTGTTGCTGTCGTGATATATCAGAACGTGGTACTTGATTGATGATGTCAGGCGGAGGAAATGATATTGCACTGCGCGATACTTAAGTCACTGTAACCTTGTTACGTCAATACTGACGTTTAGAGTTAGATTAAAACAGTCCGTGTAATGGAAGAGGTATACCATAAATATATGTCCAACTAATGCATTAGGACCGTATATTTTGAACTCGAAGATGTCATGGTAAGAAAGAAACAGTTCTTTCTTTAAACTCATATCTCTCTGATAATGACATCTTGTTGTTCAGCACACACACAGGGATTGGGATGGAAACCTGTGACAATGGGCCATTTTCAGGATTATTAGCTATTTTCTGAATTTAGAATGGGCCACTGCCCTTGTATCAATAGTAAACTTCAAAATGTTAATGGGACATATTTTATTCTAATGTGCAAAATGGCCCATGGCCCCAGCCTTTCCCAATCCCTGCATACAGTCCAACTGCACTTGTATGATGTTCTATGTATGTATTGGATTTACAGCAGGACATTGTTATACTGGATTCCATGCTTTCGGGACAGTTAACTTATGGGTGGATCTCATGCTTCTCGTGACAATCAAAGACAACAGCTGAAGGGTTGACAAGGGTATATTTAGTATTTAGGGCATGTTGTCTAAGTGCAGTGTAGAGTTAGCTGCCTTGGCTGGAGAAGGATGCTGTGGTCCAGGGTGTCACTGTACTCATGTTGGTGAATGCCGTCAATCTGCGTCACTTCGGGCTTCCGTTCTCCACTAACTCAACAACATTACTGATGTAATTCTTGATGTTAAATGCAACACTGTCCATGTTAGGGTGCCAACTGTAAGGTCATGGACCTCGTTACTCAAAGCAATCATAGCACCGAGATGATTACAACTTCCTTTCTATAACAAGGCTTACAACGGTTTTAGTTCTGAGATTGCTCTGTGGAACTAGTGCCTGAATGACTGCAGCACTGTGCAGCATCACCTCACTGGGATCAAATAGCATAAAAGCACTCATTATTCATTATCAACTTTTCTGGTTTAAAGTTGATGATAAGCACCACACTCAAACGACCTTGAGTGGTTCAATATTTTCAATACATTTTAACTTCTCATTATTTCGCATTCAACACATATATCACGCTTCTTGTATGAGGAGCAAAGGGGAGATAACTCTATAATCCTACCCACATACCTGATAAATGTTATCTAACATCACCCACTATCATTGCATAGAATAACTCATATTTATTCCAATGATAATTCCTAATTTGTATGTAACAACATTTACAACATCTCAGCACACATCCAAAAATCTCAGGAGAGATACATATTAGAAATGTGGTCCCTTGCGTCTTCATGTATTTTATTTATACGAACAAGGGATCATTTGTGACCGTGGGGCTGCTTTTATCTTAGGCTGAAGCTTATTGATTTCCACAGTGTGATTTATGGTTAAATCGCTGTTTTGTCCCCAGTAAAACACTTCTGTATAAATCATTGCTTGATCCCAGTGCATTGATTGGATGCTGGCTAACACAGCTCATCTCTTGTTAACAATTCTTCATCGGGGAACAGCAACATGATAAAATCATTAGCCACATCATTGTGTTTAACTAGGGTGTTATGAGCTGATTATTTACAACCCATTGATTTACAGGGGATTCTGTTTACTTTCAACATGGTTATCTCAGAAAGACTGGTCTCTTTCTATGAATTTTTGCCTTGCTCTTAAACTTCAGAATATCTCTAATGTTTCTTCTGCACCAGCTACCCAAATGCATTATGTGAACAAATAGAAAAAAAGTGGCCGCAAAAGGTTTTCTGTTTTATCAGTTTCCTGAATGTTTAATATCTTTATGTTGATTTCTATAGAACTTATTTCATGCAGGTTGTATCATTTATAGAGAGTAAATTTTTAATGTTTGCAACAATGTCTTATGGCATTCTATGATGAAATGGTAAAGAAATATAGAATGGGTCGATATTCTCCAGGGAGCTGTGATGGATTGACTTCAGTGGTTCAATGTGACAACAATGGCTGCAGTATGTGGGTGGCACGAGTCACCACGCTCATCTACCCTGAAAGCCCTCTTCAATTACTGACAGATGGACTTTTTTTTGTCATTTTGTAGTTATTAGTCTTGATAATGAGCTAAAAACAGGCAAAATATGAACTATGAACTATTGCACAAAAAACCAATCTCGTCATCTTACTTCTACATGCCAGAAACCTTTTAAGCTTATGAGACAGTTTGGTATTCGTATTCAAACTTCCATTTGCTTCCTTCCTTCATCTGCTTAAGTGTATTTCCTTTATCAAACTAGTCGGATATCCTTTTTTTTCCATTCTAATTCTTCATGTGTGGTGTGGAGCTCAGCGTAACTATGTGTAGGTGAGACGTGCCATGTATGTATCCCGATGTGTGATGTAGGTGTCACAGGTGATATGTGTGTGCAATATGTGTCCTTAATATGTGATGTAGGTGTCACAGCTGATGTGTGTGTGTGTGTGATATGTGTCCTTAATGTGTGATGTAGGTGTCACAGGTGATATGTGTCTGTGATATGTGTCCTTAATGTGTGATGCAGGTGCCACAGGTGATATGTGTCTGATATGTATGTCCTTAATGTGTGATGTAGGTGTTACAGGTGATGTGTGTGTGATATGTATGTCCTTAATCTGTGATGTAGGTGTCACAGGTGATATGTGTGTCCTTAATGTGTGATGTAGGTGTCACAGGTGATATGTGTGTCCTTAATGTGTGATGTGTCACAGGTTATATATGTGTGTGTGATATGTGTCCTTAATCTGTGATGTAGGTGTCATATGTGATGGAGGATGGTGTATGAGGTGTAGGTGTCATATGTGATGTGTGTCATTCAGTGTGTTTGTATCGTCACGCCGAAGACCCGGGTTTGAATCCCCACATGGGTACAATGTGTGAAGCCCATTTCTGGTGTTCCCCGCCGTGATGTTGCTGGAATATTACTAAAAGCAGCGTAAAACCGAACTCAGTCAGTCAGTGTGTTTGTAAGAACGGTGTGTCTCTTTCAGGAACACCAAGCTGGTGTGGCAATTCATCTGATGTTTGATGGAGGTGTCATTATGTGTGATATAGGTCTCTGTGTGATATAGGTGCCATCATGTCTATTGTCAATGTCTTTCTGTGTGTCTGAAAGAAAGGTGATCTCTCTTTCAGGTACACCAGCCTAATGTGGCTAGTCATCATGTGTTGCAGGTATCACCAACTAGATTCACTTTTCAAATAGCCACAGAGCAGCCTGTATGGATGGAAGTTGGGCGCTATAGAAATATATTATTATTATTATGTTTAAACCTGTCCTGCCCATTGGAAGTGTTTCAATCCGAAAAACCATTATTTTGAAACAAACTGTAACACATGTTATGCGTACATTGATAAATCGTGTTATCTCCCAAAGACATTTATGATGACTTGTGATTAAAACTGAATCGTTGGAAGACAAAACAGGCATTTCTTGTACAGTCTCCCGACTGCCCAATGCCCTATTCACCCATCCCAGTAAGTTGAAATTGCTGCGTCCCAGATCCATCTTTGTTATAAGAAAACAGTCACGCAGAGGAAATGGTGTAATTTCATGCTCTGTTTCATCATAGGACTCATTTCTCCGTGATTAATGCTGATGTCCATTTGGCAAGGCAGGTTGTTGCAGACAAGTGTTTGGTTCTAGGGCTGGTGTGTGGAGTCACATTCTCTGCTGTATCTGTTCGTCCTACTGCCAGAACATACCCACGGTTTTTAGCATTTGTTTCGCTGATCCCAATACATGCTGTCCTGTCAGGTTGGGGTCAATCTCAGGCGTCCTTTCTGCATTCACTCAGAAAACTTATAAGTTGCTTCGCTGAATTTTCTGACAAACCATTTGGAACTCTAAATCTAATTTATAAGTTTATGATTTCTTTTTTGTGAACTTTATGTGAATATTTTGGAACTGAGTGCATGCATGATTGGCAAAATGTGCACAGTGCAGTAATGCAGTATTGTTACTTGACTGGACATTGTTGTACAGCGATATATTACAACATGGTAGAAGCTTTCAGTTTTGAGGGGTGGTTTGATTTATGCATCATTCTTAAGTACAACTCAATGCATGAGGGTGTATAAGGGGCACATTGCACATGGTGTCAGTAGCACACACTTTTCTACAGGTTCAATTTCCTGCTCTACAAAGTGATCACAGAGCTTAGGGGATCGTAACTCCCATACTTTAACATAGACTTACGGCTGTCGTAGCACTAAGATGATCGTAACTCCCATACTTTAACATAGACTTACGGCTGTTGTAGCGCTAAGATGATCGTAACTCCCATACTTTAACATAGACTTACGGCTGTCGTAGCAGCTAAGATGATCGTAACTCCCATACTTTAACATAGACTTACGGCTGTTGTAGCGCTAAGATGATCGTAACTCCCATACTTTAACATAGACTTACGGCTGTTGTAGCGCTAAGATGATCGTAACTCCCATACTTTAACATAGACTTACGGCTGTCGTAAGCGCTAAGATGATCGTAACTCCCATACTTTAACATAGACTTACGGCTGTCGTAGCGCTAAGATGATCGTAACTCCCATACTTTAACATAGACTTACGGCTGTTGTAGCGCTAAGATGATCGTAACTCCCATACTTTAACATAGACTTACGGCTGTCGTAGGGCTAAGATGATCGTAACTCCCATACTTTAACATAGACTTACGGCTGTTGTAACGCTAAGATGATCGTAACTCCCATACTTTAACATAGACTTACGGCTGTTGTAACGCTGCGATGGCTTTGTGTAATGGAGCCAAGGTCTTGTCATGTTCATAGTGGCAGAACAGGGCCCAGATTTTCTAAGCTCTTAGCGCTAAGATATTTGTAAGTGCCATATATTAACATTAACTTACAACTTTCTTAGCGCTAAGAGAGCTTTGAAAATCTAGGCCCAGGTACAGGATGTGCTGATAGTGCATAAATACATCTCACCAGTGTTAATATTACCATAGATGCCCTCACTGATTAGAGCTGTGTTGGGGTGAGCCATGTTAACAAACCATGGTATGCTTGTCAGTCAGAATTAGTAAACTTCAGTGAAACAAATCAGCCAAGCCAAGAGTATTGTTTCAGGTCGGTTCATTTTCTGGGACATTATGTTCCAAAACATTCCTTCAAAACATTGTGTTAATGCCCTTATCTCACTTGTTTTCAGAAAATCTGCAGCAATTGGCTGTCACAAATTCTGTCAAATTTAACCTGGTCACTTCCCACTCCAAATTTCCCAATTCTTAGTGACTAGTATAAATATCTGTTAGGATGATCAGTCAGCCAACTCCAGCTCTGTTGGAACAGGGAACCCTACATGCTGTGATGTTGAGATACAACACCAGTGTTGACAGAAGCAGCATTTAACCCCCATCTCTCATTCATTTAGTCAACCCGTGAAGATCCAGATTAGAATTGGTCTTCAGTAACCCATGCTTGTCGTAAGAGGCTACTAACGGGATTGGTAGGTCAGGCTCTCTGACTTGGTTGACACATGTCATGATTGTATCCTAGTTATGTAAATATATGCTCATGATGTTAATCACTGGATTGTCTGGTACAGACTCGATTATTTACGAACCACCGCAATATAGCTGGAATATTGCTAGTGTGGCATTAAGCAAGAAACAAAACCATTGTGAATATGCCAAGCATAACAACAGATCACTTCATTGTCATGTAGATTCCTGAAAGGGAAACATAGGGAAATTGTCCAGACTCTCCACTCTGATGTCACAGCCACTGCTCGGATTTCAATGTCATATCCACTGAGGATGAGATCAGAGTAGTTTCTTGCTTTTGAGAAAAATGTATGACTTTTTTAGGTTTATAAAAATGTATTCATTTTGAATGTTTTTAAAGTGTTTTTATTGGTTTTGATTCTATAAAATTCTGTTGAACCCTTATCTCTCACTTATTTCCACTGTTAAGAGATGTGTGCAGAGTTGCATCCCTTGGATTGACACAAACCTGTTGAGGGTTTTAATCGCACTTCGCCCCAGTTAGTCTTTCAAGGTTTTTCAGCACTATAACTGTGATTGTGGGTTTCCTCCTACATTAAGCTGACACACTGTGACGGAGTGTTAAACTCAGCTCACTCACTCACTGTTCAGAAGCTTTGTTGTAATATGGTTGCAGGGTGTTGTAATATAGCTGTATTATAGACTGCTACATTAGACATCATGGCCACCCCACCCCATTTATCATGACACCTGTGAAGTTATGTGATCTGTCACTAGAGCAGATCATGTATAGTATCACAGTATTCACCTGGGTGAACATGATAGTGGTCAGTCCAATCAATACTGTGAGTAATTGACCTGGCATGCACAGGTGATTTGTTTCCTCCATTGAAATAAAAACGACATTTCTCAATATTCTTGTTATGAATTATGAATCCAGTCAATAACCTGTATCCACAGGCTGTAGAAGTAGGGCATTATGACCATATTATTGACAGCTGAGCACCATATACTGGGACGACCAGGCCAAATGTTGCTGTGATATTATACTCTCTCAAACATTGCTTTCAGATTGATATTGAATCATGTGGTTGTGATTTTTCAGATATTTTGGTTGTTAATTGCTGCATATTTAACACTATGTTTTATTATGAAATTTTTAATTCAGTTTTCCTTTCAGAGCTATCCCGGTTTGATTGGGGTTATTGTCTTTGTAATATTACTGTGAGACTTACTGTGAGATTGTGATGGTGATCTCTTCTTTGTCTACTTCATCTACTGTTGTTGCAACATGGTGCTGGGTTTATATGCATGAAACTATGTACATCTTTGGTCCATGGTTGTATTTGATAAACAAAACTGAACGATGTTTTCATTTTGAAACATTTGTAGTTTCTCCTCACCATATATACATAAGGGTCTCGGGGAATTAAGTTATCACAAGCCTGCTAGACCTACATTATGGCTGGATCAATGTGTAGCAAGATGGTTTACTGTGACTAGATCAACCAAAGGTGTTAAATCAAGGTGTAAATAGGCCAACGCTATGGTTTAACCAAGGTGTAAATAGGCCAACGCTATGGTTTAACCAAGGTATAAATAGGCCAATGATATGTGTTAATCAAGGTGTAAATAGGCCAACGCTATGGTTTAACCAAAGTGTAAATAGGTCAACGCTATGTGTTCATCAAGGTGTAAATAGGCCAACGTTATGGTTTAACCAAGGTGTAAATAGGCCAACACTATGTGTTCATCAAGGTGTAAATAGGCCAACGCTATGGTTTAACCAAGGTGTAAATAGGCAAACGCTATGTGTTAATCAAGGTGTAAATAGGCCAACGCTATGGTTTAACCAAGGTGTAATTAAGCCAACACTATTATGGTTTAACCAAGGTGTAAATAGGCCAATACTATGGTTAATGAGGTGTGAATAGGCCAACACTTTATTTTGATAAGGTGTGAATAGGCAAAGTTCAGATAAGATTTTGTGTTGCTTTTTTTTGGGGGTTAGACTAATGGGATTTCAGTGCAAAGGAGAACTTTTTGTCATATTTTTTATTTGTATTTTATAAAAAAAACATTCAAGTGGAATAGGGATAGGGCTTGGTTTTTGTGCATTGAAGGAGATAAAATAATTACAAAGACTGTTGCTGCAAAGATGACAATATATACACTATACTTCTTAAGAATACATGAAGAAAAAAAAACAACTTCAAATGCATCAAAATATTTTGAACCAGTCAAGAATAAATATTCTACAAGAGACCACATTACAATGGTTCAATAATTTGTTTTGTAGCGAATGTCATATATATTGAAGTAACTGCTGGTATGTAATAAGGTGCCTCTATCATACACCTTAGGGACGATCTAATTTGAGGGCATTATCTGCCATCCTACACTGCATAGTGTGGGTAATTCTCGTACAGTTTAGGTCCCACGTATTGTGAGTGTAGGTAACAGTGACTGCAGGTATGGACTGTCCTTGGACAGGGGACCACCAGAGAACCTTTCTAATGACCTGCCGTACAGCATAGTTCTACAACACTGACCTCTGATTGATAACCACTGATTAATAACGACTTATTGATAACCACTTTAGAGATCAAATAAGCCATAATACCAATGTGAATATGGGAGCTAGTTCGAAGCACTGATCTAGCCATACAATTTCAGCCTAGTAATCTTTACTGGTAATATCCGTAGGATAAGAATTCTGACTTTTAAAAATATGATGACAAGTTTGCACACTAAAGTGTTGGTGTTTTTTCTCGTATTCGTCATATAAGTATTTGCTGTACCTTGTTCCTAATTTCTGTGTCTATATAGCTCAGAGTTGAAGAAGACTGAAAGTTGTATTAGGTGGGGATTGTGCAGCATGATCATTAACATCTTTCGAAAATGCTTTTGGTTAACAGAAGTTTGGGAGACTAATTCTACAAAATGTTAATTATACTGAAAGGTGTTGTTGATCTCATCTTCTAGTTCTTATCCATAAAGGCATTTCATGCATTAGTAATCCATTGGTTTTTATCACTGGTCTAAGAACGAGAAATAAGGCAAGAGACTTAATCCTTTGCTTCCAGAGTAATTCATTCTAGGGAAATGCTCCTCACAAAAATAATTCATAAATGGTGTGTTTTATTGAATTTCCATTGTATTTGAAGTGGCTGCTATGTTATCTGTTTCAGAGCGCAGCACTCCTCATTGTCCAAGCTGGACATCAGTGAAGATAATGAACCAGGCCTGTCCAAACTTGATGTGGTGCTGTCTTTCACACTGGAGGTACACACTAGGTTGCACACATCACAGTCCACACATGTTACACATCACACTGCACAAACCACAGAGTACACATCACACTGCACACATCACAGTGTACACATCACAGAGTACACACCACACTGCACACATCACAGTGTACACATCACAGAGTACACACCACACTGCACACATCACAGGGTACACATTACACTGCACACACCACAGAGTACACATCACACTGCACACATCACAGTGTACACACCACACTGCACACATCACAGAGTACACACCACACATCACAGAGTACACATCACACTATACACACCACAGAGTACACATCAAACTGTACACATCACACTTCACACACCACAGAGTACACATCACACTGCACACACCAGAGTACACATTACACTGCACACACAACAGAGTACACATCACACTTCACACACCACAGAGTACACATCACACTGCACACACAACAGAGTACAGGTACATCACACTGCACACACATCAGGGTACACACACACAGCACATACACACACAGTACATGTCACACTGTACATCACACTGCACACATGTACACATCACACTGTACACATCACACTGTACACATCAGAGTACATGCACACAGTACACTGTCACACTGTACACATCACACTGTACACATCAGTACACTGCACACATCACACTGTACACATCACAGTGTACACACTGCACACATCACACTGTACACACCACAGAGTACACTGCACACACTACAGTGTACACATCACACTGCACACACCAGAGTACACATCACACTGCACACATCACAGGGTACATACTACAGAGTACATGCCACACAGTACGTCACACTGTACACATCACACTCTACACACCACACACTGTACACATCACAGTGTACACACCACACACTCTACACATCACAGAGTACATACTACAGAGTACATGCCACACAGTACATGTCACATAGTACTCACCCTGGTGTACGCATAACAGGGCACGTCACAGAGTACATGGCACATGGCACTCACCCTGGTGTACACTTAACAGAGTACACACCACAGAGTAAATGAAACTAATGTTTCTTTTATGTGTGGTATCGTGATGTCAGTTTCATCCGAGGATATCAACTAAATAATTTCATTTCAAATATACATATTTCAACCCATTTCAATAATTGAGCTGACACAGTCATACAGAAACAGTTATATTCTTTCTAGTATGTTTGTCAGTAGAGGACAGGTATACAGTGTGTGTGTTCGTCTCCACCAGGTGCATGTGAGTGAGGTGAAGGGTCTGAAGTCACTGGCCCCCAACAAGATAGTGTACTGCACGATGGAGGTGGAGGGAGGGGAGAAACTCCAGACTGACCAGGCCGAGGCATCTAAACCATGGTACATCATACACTCCACTATTTACTTCAACATGATTTGATGTGGAACTTGATATCTTACTTTCTAAATGTTCGCAGTTTGTGTCGGAACAGCTTGTTGCAAGATTAAATGGTTGTTTTTTCTGTTTATCATTTTTCATCCTGCTTTAAGAGAAGTTGCTGAAAAAGTGTGTTTAAAAAAGCAGACCACCTCTCAAAAGACCACCTATTTATATGAGATTTATTGTGAGGACACAATAATGATGACTTTGAGAGGACAAGAGCGTAACTTGCTGTGTGTTTCAGCTGTCTGTGTTGGATAGGGATATCACGATTAACCTGTACATTGGTTTATTTATAATATTCTCAGAAGGTACAACATGAGATACACTCCTACGTATATCCATCCATATTTTTATCATGTGTAGTCCTATTTTGCTTAACACATGTAAAACTTCAATGGCAGGGTTGTTGACTTAATAAATCCTATGTACATTTCAATCACAATTTCTCTTCAATTTATACTGTTTCTACATCATGCAGTTTACATAGTTTTATATAGTTTAAATTCTGTTCTGTCTTTTTGTGACTGGTATTGACACTCCAGTCTTATCTTAAATTTGAAAAAATTGATTGAAATGAAACCATTTATTCAGTGAACTTCAAGATTTTTCAAAAGTGTTTTTGCTCCTAAGAAAAATACAAGTACAAATTCTCTTGAGTTAAGTATCATGATACACACCTTCAACAAACTATCCAGATATGTTCATATTGGGAGATAGTTGTATCGTGACATCCTCCATGATAACTGTATGAAGGTTCTCCATGGTGGTCCAGGACAGGCTATATCTCCAGTGTCTCATGGTGACGCATAGGCTATTACTTTGTCTACTATGTTTCAGCTGGGACACACGGGGGGACTTCACCACCACACACCCACTGCCAGTAGTGAAGGTGAAGTTATACACCGAGAGTTCTGGTATGCTTAGTCTGGAGGACAAGGAGCTGGGCAAAGTGAGCACACAATTACATAGCACCTTCCCACACAGGTTCAGGCCCCTTCAAACTGATATGCAGCTACGTGCGATCACACTCTGCATTGTTGATTACATGCAACTTTATCCCAGTGGGTGGCTCGTTAGTCATTATATCAATCATCAGCTAGATTTACACTCCACATCATTTAGCTTAAAAATTGCTGAGTGGCACTAGACAACAAGCATACAGAATCAACAACAGGATTCTAAAACTACTTCCCTAACAACTATCATGATAACAACGAGAGTTGTTGATTGACATGAATTTGAAGTGACTATGATTATGTTATCTTTGACGTTATTTTGTGTGGAGGTTTGATTGTGGAGGTTGTAGTCTATTTTAGTAGTTATTATTTGGCTTGGGGGCCTTTGCTGATCATTTTGTCACAGTGGATGGGATGTTGCTGATACTGGTTTGATTGGTCCAGACAATGACAGTTCACGGTTGTTTGGTTTTAATATTGCGGGCATTAATCAGTGATGACCACAATCAGTGTCTGGATTCCCACAACTACAAACAAAAGCAGTGGTTTGTATAGTAGTATTTTATTTCTCCTTGTACAAATGCAAAGGTGTTTTTACTGTGACATGCAGATCACACAGCTGTCACAATTTGAAGGTATTGTGTTTTGCATATTTCAAGCTGTTTTAGGGGCGGTGGGGTAGCCTGGTGGTTAAAGCGTTCACTTCTCATGCTGAAGGCCTGGGTTCAATTCCCCACATGGGTTCAGTGTGTGAAGCCCATTTCTGGTGTACCTTCGCCGTGATATTGATGGAATATTCCTAAAAGCAGCGTAAAACCTAACTGACTTAAGCTGTTTTCAGAACTACACTCATGTGAACTGGTGATCTGAAAGTGGAAGTCAGTTCATCTTAAATGTTGGTACTTGCAGGTTGTGATTCGACCAACAGCCAATAGTAGTCGTGTGGCAGAAATCTACAAGATGACAACAGCCAAGAACTTCCCTGACAACTTGACAATAAAAATAGCTGTACGCATGGATAAACCTCAGAACATGAAGCACTGTGGGTGAGTGTAGCCTCACTGTTTCCAGTGGAGGGAATTTGTAACAGGATTGAACATTTTGATTGAATTTAAATCGTTACTGAACGCCTTCTAGCACTTAGATACACAACTGGATATTGCTGTCATTTCGCTTTGACAGTTTGTGGTTTGAATTTTGTGTCAATTACCTTTATGCAATGGTCATTCTTGTTCCATAAAACAAGAAGACCTCAAGATCTTTTCAAAAACTGGGTTGGGGCCATTTGGGATGGAGCTTACTTTGTAATGGGTCCTACACTGAAAGATAGTCTCCACTGTATGCATTCTGGCAAGACGAGCAGGCTGATAGATATGTTTGTGCATGTTAGAAGTAATATGAGATATCTTTAGAATTAGAACCAATATACCAAACTGATACATTTACATGATAATCAATTTGACATTCTAGAATGAACTTAAAAATAGGGCTGCAACGATTCGGTTCGATACATTGAAAATCGATTCTGACACCTTAGTTTGATTTTCGATAGCCATTATCACTATTTCGATTTGATATTTGAATACCTATTTGAATTATTTCCACACAGCCAGAACCTAATTCTGACTCCAACTCGAGCAGTTTGGAGAGGCGAAATAAGGCAAAATGTAATTGGTTGACCCCAGGCTAATTATCCAATGAGAATTGTTGTTAGTAGACATCGTCAAGTTAACGATGGATTTCACGCTAAAAGAGCCAACTCTGAGAGTTAAGTGAAATCTGATGTTTTTACTTGTATGAAGAATCGAATAAAAAATTATCGAATCGAGGGTCCAATATCGAAAATCAAATTGAATCAAGGTCTTGGTGAATTGTTGCAGCCCTACTTTAAACATGTCTCAAGTCAGTGCAGTGTTCAACAGTAAGCAAGAAAGTCAAGAGGTGCTAGTCATTCACACAGATCACAATCACATACTGGCTGTTATGTAAATCCAGATTCACTTACTCCTAGAATGGATCAATGTTTGTACATACATATACTTAATTTCTTTCACTGTTTCTTGCAGTTATTTGTACGGCCTAGGGAAGACAGTGTGGAAGAAATGGAAGAGGCGATATTATGTCCTTGTACAGGTATGTCCTCTCATGCTGTGCAGTTGGTAAAGGGAGGTAACTGTCATTTGCTGAGGTTAGCCCACTGAGTGAAGATATTTTAAACTATGGAATGATTCAAAATGCTCCAGATATTGTCTAGAATTTACATTGGTGGAAATGCTGTAGAGTAGTAGTAGATACAATAGCGGTCCGAGACCAAGTCCAACAAAAGCCTCTGCAAAGCTTTATTTCACAAATAAAGCTTTTGTCAGGCCCTTAGATCTCACCCACCATTGTCTACTACTGGAGGTAACTGTCATTTGCTGAGGTTAGCCCACTGAGTGAAGATATTTTAAACTATGGAATGATACTAGAATTTACATTGGTGGAAATGCTGTAGAGTTCATGCCCAGTGAAACGAAATAATAATACGGTATGTGATGGAGAGATTATCAGTGTGAGATTAGGGTATTAGTTTGCTGTTAGATTCATATGCATGATACATTCTCAGCCAATAAACAAAACAGATTTTGATTGTGTCTATCAAACTGGATCCTGTGTTTGAAGGGCTTGGAATTATAACACAGGCGACATCCATACCTTATCATTGTAGCGGGTCTTGGACTCAAAGAGGTCATCATGTCAGAATCGTACAGATTGATGTTCACGTAGTGTTGAACAACAGACTTTCAGACATGCACACTTCTGACAGACTAACGCCTTTCTGTCTTGGTTCACCAAGGGTTCGAATTCCCACATGGGTACAATGTGTGAAGCCCATTTCTGGTATCCCCCGCCGTGATGTTGCTGGAATATTGCTAAAAGCGGCGTAAAACCAAATTCAGTCAGTCAGTCAGTCACCACCGTGATATTGTTGGAAAACTGCTGAAAGCAACAAAACTAAGCTTCCTCACTACCTTGGTTCCAGGTGTCCCAGTACACCTTCGCCATGTGCAGCTATCGGGAGAAGAAGCCCGACCCAACAGAAATGATGCAATTGGATGGCTTCACTGTCGACTACTGCGAACCTCTTCCAGGTATGTACAGCCTCACTACCATCAATTATAACTTACTGCTGTATTTACATGTATACAGGGGGTAGTGGTGATACAATACACCAGTGCATCAATGGATCGTGATGTTTTACTTACATATGTATTCAATCACTCCCTGATTGTAGAACTGGTTCCAACATTTGGGTTTAATAATTGAAAATATGAATCACCAAACTGTTCTGTATTTACCGCAGCTGTTTTGTATTGCTCTTTGGAAGGCAGCAATAAAGCATCAAATGATTATATATAAATAATGATGAATAGACCCGATCCAGTCTGTCAATCAAAACTGGCGATACAAGCGTCAATTTTGGCCAATCAGCAGGCCGGCGCTGTGTGGATTTGTCAGACTTATTTCCGGGTCAAACGATGCATCCGGTGATGTGCTTCAAATTATGCCATTTACACTCGCTATATTTATTACATATTGCTGCGATTTGATGTGTACCTTAACAAAACCATTACGGTCAAGACAACAAAATGGAGGCGGATCAAGAAACGCCGATAGGCCTGACGATTAGTTAAATGTCTGCACCATCGTTCAAGAAACCTACGCCTGCCTGCTGATGAGAATTTGCACGAATTTGCACACTTTTGCACATGTGCAAAATCATTACCAATTGATGACAACAAATAGCAGTTTAAGACTTTGCAAGTGTTATAAACACGGACAATTCTTGTAACTACAAAATTGATTTTTGCTTCACGCTTTTAGTCACTACTAGGCATTGAGTTGGTACGCCACAAAGCTCAAGAGAGACAGGCGAGAAAGCCGTGACACAATGTAAAATAAATTTTCATTTCGGTTAGGTTCAACCGAAATAGCAAAACATGTTACATGAAAGAACAATGTGGCGGATATTGTCCCGCTCAAGCTCTTAGATATTCTTCAATTTGTCACACATTTTAGGATGTTTTAAGTTTCATAAGCACAATCTGAAGGCCTACAGTATCTTGTTAACAGAGCAAAATATTCGAGGAGTAATATTTTTATTCAAACGGAAATATTGTCAGTGTCAGCAGTTGCCTATCATGCAATATCCAAGTATCAAAATTAGTTCATATGAGTGCCTATAAAACCATGCTTTAAATATTTCAGATTTTTTATAAAGAATTGCATGGGACTTTGACCTGAATTACCATCCTCCAGGTTGATCAATCTGAAAACTATGTGAGAAGAATAGTGACTTTCTTGAGTATTGGACAGAGTGAAATAAAGTGTATATCTTAATTATGAGAACATTATTTGAAGTTTTGTTACCACATAAATTATTCACATATAATGGTACATTTTAGGAGTAATATTACAACTGTAATTTTGATTAATTCACTGGAAATGATATCAAGGTACATGTTTTCAGAATCTTGCTTTTTTAGTAAACGTGGAAGGGAAATAAAATTAATAATAATCTAATCAATAATAAATAATTATTTAATTGATTGACATATCAGATTTTAGATTTTAAGGCAGAACTAGGCAAACAAACACCATACATATCAAGGCAGGACAATCACTTGGTATTAACTTAGTTTCTTGGCTCCTGCTTTTAGATGTTTTTTAAATACTACATTTACTAATAAGATAATTCTGAAAGTGATTGCTAGTATCATAACTCATTAAAGTTATTTCAACATCCAGAATATTTGAAAAAGCAAAGGCTACATTTTGGTCAAACCCTGACAGGCATTATCTAGTCCTGAACAGAATAACTTTCAAAATCTCAGGTGACTTTTCATGTAATGGAATAAAAGATTGAAACATATATTAAACCCATATTTGATGTAATTCTTCTGATTAATCATAAGTTTTTAGGAGGTTACTACTATTTGAAGACTGAGCCAAAGCTAGTGTTCATTAAGATGGTGGATTTGGACAAATTGTTCAAGGTTTGTTGATGGTTATTTGCAAAATGAGCTTCATATTAAATTGCACACAGGTTTGTAGGAGGTGAACGCTTCAGGACATTTTCATGTCTGTTTTTCCTAAACCTTTGTTATGACTTTTACCAAATTTTGAATCAACTTTACTATAATTTTATGACACCAGTAAGTATCTCAGAAAAGGAAATAGATCAAAATCAGTGTTATGTCCTCTAGGGATATGGTCTCAGATCTAATAAAAACAAAGATTATCATTGTTTAATTAAGAAGCAATAATTGTATTGACAGAAGGCTTTGAACATAGGGATATATTCTTTGCACCTTATTTACACTAGTAGTTAGCAGTTAAACATCTCTGATGAAAACAATAGATCTACATTTGTATTTTGTGTAACATTCTATTTCAATGCTAGTTAATTGTTCGAATAACTGTGGATTCTCTGTTCCAAAATTTTGCATCACATGTTTCCTATTTCTGGAAGATGGGTCAGCTAGTGTACAGGTGCAGACTGTATCTTGGATCTTCTTTGTGTTCTGGTGCTGTGACATACCTGTACATAAACGCTGGCAGTTCATGAAGTCCAGTATTGTGGAAGTTTGTATGTAAATTAGAATTCCACAACAAAGTACATATAGAAAAATTAAATGGAAATGATGATTAAAAAATGATTTCCTTATATTCAGTGTCATTTTATCATGGTGTACAGAGAGAAACTCTACTGAGAGTTGCTGCAGATCAGCTGTTGAATATTTGCTTCTGGGTATGTCCAGATATCGCCCATGGAAACATATTGTTTACATAAGCCCAATTACCTTTCCAGATTTCCAAATAAGATCAAATAGGGTTATGCTGTGATTGATTTGTTAACATTAATTGTACAGACAAATAAGGTGCATGAAGTAGTAGACAGGAAATATTTTCTGCTTTTATTTACCATTCTCTTAATTAATTAAAAGATAGAAACCCATGTTTTCAGATTATTGAACTAAATTTGAACAACGCGAAACGGATAAGTAAAGGTACCACGCCAAGAGTGTTGATAATCTATTTATAGATACCCAAACGATGTGCAACATGACCATGTGGTTGTGTTCACGAAGTTTTAAAAATATTATAAACCCAAACAACAAAATTCAGTTATCCTTTCCCTGCTAATATCTGTGACGGAGGTGAATTGCCAGATAGATTAATTGAGTCGAAAGAAAATTACGCTTCCTACAGTCTCAGCAGCTAGTCGAGACGCTTTTCAGCGGGCATGTAACTCATTTTCACTTTCGCCAGTTGTAATCTGCCAGCTAAAATATATTAAAAATCACATATAACTTGCCTCTTTAAATAACATTCACAAACAGACGGATACCAAAGTATCACAAGCAGAATTCATCAACAACGTTAAGCAATCACGCATCGCGTTTAGCCCGGCGGTGGCGCCATTGTGATTTGCCAGTGGTTGTCCCCCTAACGCCAAAAACGAAGCGGGCGGGCTTATCGGCCGAGACTGGATCGGTATTAGACATGATTCTTTTGGAAAAATATTCGGAACTAAACAAGATTTTCTTCATGAAAATAAGGAAACTAACTAAGTCACATTGAATGTAGAATGAATAACTATGTATAGGAGCAAGTGAAAGGACCATGAATATTGGTCCAGGAAATATATAAAGATCACAAGTATTGGTGGACGAGATTGATAAATACCACGAATATTTGTCCAACAAGAGCAAAGAGTAAAGCATGTATTGTCCTACGAACGAAAAACCTACACTCCTGCTCCAATGAGCAATAATCCTACTCTGGCATTACAGCGTTAGAATCTAGTTTCTGGATTTGCAGTGAATGCCGTTGGTTTTACGCAAAACATGTAGTAGTTGTACAAAGTGTTCATGTGTCATGAACCAAATCAATGCTTGCACCACCTCTCCTCAACACTATGATTTTAGAATCTGAGCATTTGTACCCACTCCCCTGATGCTGCCTCATGTTATTCCATGTGGTTAAGTGACATTCCTTACTGCATCAGCAGAGCTGGAGGGTGGCAAGTGTTTCTTCAACCTGGTCAAGGAGGGTGACAATGTGATGTTTGCGACGGACGACGAGTCAGAGAGGACGTTGTGGGTGCAGGCAATCTACAGAGCCACTGGACAAACCCACAAGCCCACTCCACCTGTTGTCCAGACCAACAAGATCAGCAACACACAGATCTCCAGGATGCAAGGAGGTACCACAGTTCAAAACAGTCTGCATTTTCTCCTTTAGCTGGAATATTATTTAAACAACAGACTTCCCTATTTAACAACACTCACCTAATAAATAGATCTCCATGGAGATTTTGGGTTGGAAATGATTGTCAGAAAACTGGGCTGACCTCCAAAAAGCAGTCTAAGTGCTGAGGTGATCCAGGCTTTAACCTGGAATAGTTGCAGCGTTAAGTTCATTTTGAGAATAAGTGAGTTTTAATTATATGCTGCTTTTAGCAATATTCCAGCAATATCACAGCGGGGGACACCAGAAATGGGCTTCACGCAATGTACCCATTTGGTGAATCGAACCAGGGTCTTTGGCATGACAAGACAAATGGTTAAACCACTAGGCTACGCCCAAACAAGTTCTTTTTGTGGAACAAGGTCGAGAATCTTTATTGACTGGAATGGTTGGTCAGACTCTGTGATTTGGTTACAGTGTATCACTGTACCCAGTCAGAGTGGTCATTGCTGATTGTGTCAATCCCTTGATTTCAGTGATTTCATGTTCACATTCATCTTCTGTGGTTTCAGATGCTGACCGGGCCCGAAAGCATGGCCTGGATGAGTTTGTACAGGCCAACCCATGCATATTCGAACACCATGACCTGTTTAAGACACTGCAGACCCTAACGCTGGACTACCGACTCAACGATGCATACACCTGTCTGGTGAGCTACATGTTTGCTGTCTGTGTTATGCGTTTATCATTTCAGAATCAGTATTGCAACTTATTTCTCCAGTATGATCACAATGCTGGGCACAAAAAGTTGTCATGAGATGTCTTCAAGAGGACTGAACAGGGAGTGGAAAGGTTTCTGGGTTTGATAGCTGTTTTTGTAAGGAATGAGACAGAGCTTTGATTATCTGCAATACAGTTTGTTGGATATGCGTATTCATACAATGCATATTTAAACATTTCAAAGGGTGTTTTATTAATGCAAATTTAAGATAAGGATCTGACACTTGTGTTATTGCAGGGATGGTTCAGTCCGGGCCAGGTGTTCTGTCTGGATGAATACTGTGCAAGGTATGGTGTTCGGGGTTGTCACCGACACTTGTGTTACCTGAGTGACCTGCTGGAGAGAGCAGAGATGGGCATCCTCATCGACCCGACCCTTATCCACTACAGCTTTGCCTTCTGCGCAAGTCATGTTCATGGGAACAGGTGGGTGAAACCAGCTTTGATGTAACTGGAATACTGTTAAAAGCGGTGTGAAAACCAACTCACTCATATATATTGTATATATCAATCAATCAATAAATCAATCACTGTTTCAGGCCAGACGGGATAGGCACTGTCCTTCAGCGGGAGAAGGCAAAGTTTGATGAGATCAAGGAGCGACTACGAATCCTGTTAGAGAACCAAATCACCCACTTCAGGTACTTGATTAGGTGTAAATGCTGAACAATATTTGTGATGCTATTTTCAAATGTTAACCTTTAAAGAGCAGAGTTGTGAATTATGATGTCCCTTGGGCCATGATCATTGTCTTCAGGTGCCAGTCAAAGAAACCAATTCCCAAACAGACCATCCAGTTAGTTCATTATGATATGTAGGGCGAGTTGACTCCCAACATGGGTACAATATTTTAAGCCCATTCTGGTGCCCCCTGCCATGATATTGCTGGAATATTGCTAAAAGCAAACACCATACGCACTCAGTCGTAACAGTTCAATTTTTTCTTATCCTGACTCATGATCTTTTGCTTATCTCCCTTTCCCTTGCGAATGGTAGTGGAACACTGGAATCCCTTAAAGTTCCCAAAGTGGACGTAAAAATCAACTCACCCACGAGTTACCTCCCTTTTCCCGCGTAAACAGTCATGTGACCAGCCTTACTTGTCACTCTCTCCCTTTTCGCCCAAGTGGATGGTTGGGCGAGACCCTGGAGTCCTGTATACGGCATTATATCCTTTTGATTTAGGTCCTATTCTTCAAAATTATGTTTTGTAAGGATTTGGCTATAACTACATTGTATTATATGTAAAAAAAATGGAAAAATTATTTGTGTTTGTGTCATAATTTCATCGTGATGTAACTTGTTTACATTTCATGAAATCTTGCAGTGTTTGCAGGCACAGGTTATCCGTGGCTGACCCTCATCCCCAATGCCCTTCGTGCATCAAACCATGTTCTTCGAGCTTGTGCTGTACTTACTGTGTTGATTTATCAAATCTACAATTTAATCAATATTTGTCTTATATCTATAGACGTGCCATGGATCGGGTGAGGAAGTCATCACAAGTCACAGCTGATAAAACAGGAGATCAGCCTGCAAACCGTATGTTGCTTGCTACTGCTGAAATTCATAATACTGGTGCTATGTTGAGTACGTTGCAGGGGCAGTCTGCTGGTACGGGGGTCAAGAAGAGATCGGCTACAACGCAGTTGACTCCGACTCAAGCTAAGAATAAGACATCGTCTTCTTCTACGTCGCAGAAGAAAGCATCTGTTACCAGATCGGAGGGTAAATCTACGCGGCCTAGTAAGTCAACGCATCAGAAATCCTTCAATGAAGAGATATTACCTCCGCATGAAGTAGACGTTTTTGATGATCACCCGTTACTTCTACCCGAAGTACCTACGAGATCGGCGACTTAATCGACTTCCACGACTACTAGATTGTCTCCTGCAACTGTCACAGCAGGCCAGCTGTTTGACGAACTACCACCAACTTCTCAACGGAGTGAAGTCGAGACACACAACTCATCAGCATTCGCGAACGCTTCTACACTGCAGCAGCTTCAATCAACGCAGCAGCTTCAATTACGCGCTTGTACTAACCAACTAATTGCACCAGATTTTATGTAGGCCAACTTGCTACAACACCGGTGACGTCATGCTTGAAGCTGATTGGTCCACGTCAGACAACGCCTCCCACTGACAGAGCAGGCACAAGCAAGTTTACTGACTTGTAAACAAACCCGTGGTACGGGGTTAATACTTCATCGGCAGCCTTGGAAACAGTATACAACTACGGCCTGTTATCATCATGGGAATCTTATAGATATCTAGCCTTGACTGCAGCATAAACAATGTTTATTTTGGAAGTTGTCGCTGATAAAAGTCGGTATGAATACATGTCCCCTGCAATGCTACACTGGAGCAATCCTTGCTATAAATAGACAACGCTTCGATGTATGCTGATCAACACAGATCGCCTGCGTATATAAGGGGAAGAATGATGTATCACTGCAATCAGAGGTTAGCACTTCCAATGGAACGTCCTACCGTTTGGAATATCATCAGCTCTATGATTATTCATACGAATAACCAAGCCTATCTGCACCTATCTGCAGCATCGAGGTCTACGCAGTACCGGTTTTCTGGACGATGGCATACAGGTTCTTCAAAGAGCCAATCAACTCAGACAGCAGCTGAACTTCACAATTAAGTTGCTCACGCAACTAGGATGGCTAGTGAACCTGATCAAGTTGGAGTTAGAATCAAACGAGATCTTCAATTGCTGGGAATAAGAATTATCCCATCACAGAATTGAATTGTGGTCCCAGAAAATCATTGGGTCAAGATACAAGCCATGATTCCACAAGCAGTCATCTCTCCGTTAACACTACAAACATGGCAATGTCTACTTGGTCTACTAACCTCGGCGCAGGACTTGACTCGCACAGGAAGGTTACAGCTAAGGCCGCTGCAATGGTTCCTGACAAAACATCTGTACAGCGTCGACCCTATCTTGCTGCCAGACAATCTTAAGAGGTACCTACTTTGGTGGACCCACAGGTCGAACGTCTGCGGAGGAACCTATTTACAAGAGCCGGCCTTCGACACACATCTCTACGTGGACGCATCGATACAAGGTTGGGGTGCACATCTCAACAATCAAGTTGCATTAAGGAAGTGGTCCAAAACAGAGCAGCATCTTCACATCAATCTGCTGGAGATGAAAGCTGTGATCAACGCCTTACAACTATGGTCGAGCTTGCTGATCAACAGAATGCTGATGGTCCACACAGACAACTCTACAGTGGCATTCTCCATAAATCTGCAAGGATCTACAAAATCACCAAGCCTACTACAGCTCACATTCCAGTTGTTTGACATCACGGAGGAGGCAAACATCTGGATAAAGGCGTGTCACATACCCGGAGCCAAGAACGTGCTTGCAGACGCTGTCTCCCGACCACTGCACCCGTCACCTACAGAATGGATGCTCCATCTAGAAGCATTTCGGCTCATCATAAGGGAAATAGGATCCCCATGCATAGACCTGTTTGCCACGAGGTTCAGCAAACAACTACAGACGTTTGTCTCACCAGTTCCAGATCCTCAAACCTGGGCAACAGATGCACTGAACATATCATGGGAAGGACTAAACGCTTATGCGTTTCCACCCCTGATATTACTACCGAAGGTACTGTTGAAGATCAAACAGACACAAGCGCTACAACTGACTTTGGTCGGGCCATACTGGCCAGTATGGTTTCTAGACCTAATAGAAGATCTCGGAAGTCCAACAATCAAGTTACCAGATTGGCCAAACCTACTCATACATCCACACACCAAGCAAGTCCACGGGAACCCGACAATCTTCTAGCTACACGTGTGGACCGTATCAAAACATGTTTGAAGAAAAGAGGATACTCCACCAGGGCAGCCAAGGCAGTAACGCTAGCGTTACGCAGATCTACTCGTAACCTGTATGATGACAAGTGGCTGAAGTTTGAGATTATTGCAAGGCGGAAAGGCTTCATTGTGATAGAAGCTACTCATCCTGAAGTGGCGGAATACCTGTGTCATCTTAGAAAGACTAGATATCTGAAAGGTTCGACATTATCTACATACTTCGCTGCCATCAGTACAGTGATTACCGTATATGACCGTCTATAAGACGACCCCATGGATAAGACGACCCCCAAACTTGACCCTTAAAATCAAAATGGTATGTTTCGTGCATAAGTCGATCCCCCGCGATGGGGTCCTAATCGCGGCAAACACAGACCACAAACAACTGGCAGTTACCAATAATTATAACTTTGGTCCACATTATTCAAAGAATTCACAGTCATATATATTGTGTCTACTCACGGATCGAAACGAAGTGTAGTTGACAGAAAATGCATAATATATTTTGCTTCCCTAAATATCATATTTATTGTAGCAACAAACTGGCTTGCTTATTTTACCCCATTCAACAATCACGAACTGATTACCGCCTCGTTTTCCACTGACTGCTAGTTTACAGTAACATCGGTAAAAATGTGTGAATTTAAATGGCTTCCGTATTTTACCCCATTCCATGTGCGTACAACTGCTTACCACGTTCATGAGGGTCTGTATAACCTTAGTGTTGATTATATATATTTTACATAAAAATTGTAATTAAAATTACACAATGCTAGGATATATTTCTTTTTGGGTTAAATAATAGTATTCTGTATTATATTTTACTGACGACTGCGTCAGAATTCATCCCGTTATATTATTGTGCATGTTTGAACTTGTTCGCCGGGAAACGTGTGCACAGCTGATTGCTATTTCCGGTTCAAATACACACGGTATACTTAATCTTAATTAATTTATAGAGCAAAAACTGTAACTAAAATTGCACAATGCTAGGATATATTTCTTTGGGTTAAATAATGGTATTCTGTATTATATTTTACTGATGACTGGTCAGAATTCGTCCTGTTATATTATTGTGCATGTTTGAACTTGTTCGCCGGGAAACGTGTGCACAGCTGATTGCTATTTCCGGCTCAGATACACACGGTAATCTTAATCCCTGCAAATAATACAATGCCCAGCAAAAAACAACTTATAACTTAAAAGGTAAATAATCTTGTCTAGTGATGTTTAATTGCAAATTTGACGTCTCTACTGACAAAGTCGTCTTCTGTTGTTTGTTCACGCGAAGTGATTCGATTTTGTTTTCTTACCCCTGGAAAAAAGTTTGACGAAAAGCGTAACCCATGGATAAGACGACTCCCTTCTACAGACTGCTTTTTTTGGTCCTCAAAATTCGGCTTATAGACGGTCATATACGGTACTATGAAAACAGGCATCAAGTTGACGAAAGTACCTGAATTACTTGCTCTGCTGAGATCTTTTAAACTGGAGGACCAGCAAAAGAAGTTCAGAGCTCCGGCCTGGGATCTGAATGTAATTCTACGTCATCTTACGAGTGATGCCTACGAACCTCTAGACCAGACTACCTTCGAGTTGCTAACACAGAAGACTCTGTTCCTACTTGTGCTAGCCACAGCAGCTCGAATATCAGAGATACATGCTCTGGACTTTGGTGGAACCAGATTCGACACGGGGCAACATGCTGCAGTTAATCTAGGACTTAGATGGAACTTCATTGCCAAGAACCAACTACCTGGTCAGCCAGATAGACAGTTCCACGTACCACCGCTATCTACAATCCTCGGCCCAGAGGATATAGAAGACCTATCCTTGTGTCCGGTCAAAGCCCTGAAGACATATCTTCAAAAGACTGAGACAAGGAGATGAAAATTCAAGCGCCTGTTCATCCCATTATCAACAGAGACATCAGCAGAAGTCTCAAGAACGATGATATCGTTCTGGATGAGAGCCGTCATATTGAGAGCCTATAAAGCAGCAGGACTAGAACCTCCTAGAGCTTCCAACCCACACAAAGTCAGAGCACTGGCGTCAACACTGGCTCTGCATGGAAATTGCTCTGTACCAGCAATTATGGAGGGCTGCTTTTGGAGGTCGGACACAGTGTTTGCCAAGACAGCCACTGAAGATGTCTCCGGCATTCACCAATTTGGGCCTCTTGTTGTAGCACAGCAACTAACGGTTCCTCAAAGGCTCTGAGTTGGAAAATCTCACCCTTTATCACGTTGACTTGTTGATAACTTTTACTAAGGAAAAGTATTAGTTTGAAAGTCCATGCGCACAGTCTCGGACAGGCTAGCCTGAGTGATTAAAGATCCTGTACGGGTAAAGATATCTAGTAATAAGAAGTGCTAGTTTATCTGAAGCTACATGAATCAACATGATTCAACTTGTCTGAGACTGAAGTAAGACAAGAAAGTGGTCCCCCCGAGTTATAACAGAAGTTGGAAGAATAGGATCAAGGAAATGCCGTTTCACAGTTCGCGCGTGCGTGTGTGCGTGTGTGTGTGTGTGTGTGTCGTGCGTGCGTGTGACCCACCACCAATCCGCAGGATTCTATTAGCAAAAGATCATGACTCAGGATAAGAATAAATATGTAATTTTTCAAGTAAAATTGATATTTTTATACTTAATATCCTGACTCATGAGGTCAAGCCCTCCCGACCTCCCCACTGGAAACACTTCAAATTGCACAGCAGATCCAAGTGCTTGGGCAGAAAAATCAGGAGAAAGTGACAAGTAACGCTGGTCACATGACTGTTTACGCGGGAAAAGGGAGGTAACTCGTGGATGAGTGTATTTTTACGTCCGCTTCAGGAACTTCAAGGGATTCAAGTGTTCCACTACCATTCGCAAGGGAAAGGGAGATAAGCAAAAGATCATGAGTCAGGATAAGTATAAAATATCAATTTTATTCAGAAAATTACATTTTGGTATCCTTTGCCACCCAGTAAAACTGAATAATACAGTGAACAGTATTTTGTCTAATACTATAATGTTTATCTTACTGCTTTTGATGCGAAAGTTACTCAAGTATTGACTTAATACCTCTCCTTCTAGATACTGTTTCCCCTTTGGACGACCTGAGGGAGCACTGAAAGCTACGCTGTCACTCCTAGAGAGGGTAGGTATTGATATTTTAAAAAGACAAGGCCATCGTGAGAAGATAATGTTGTGGTGGTGCTGGAGGGCTAGTAGTGGTGGTAGAGTAGATACATAGACAGACATAGTAGTAGTAGTAGTAGTAGTAGTAGTAGTAGTAGTAGTAGAAATTACTGAGATAAATGGCTTGTGAATCCCTATTGTTTTACAATGAATGACTACAGATTTGCAATGCAATACAATTGAGTCACAAATCCAAAATATTTGGCCACAAATGTAAAATATTAACTAAATGTCTGCAGTTACCACAGTCTTGATTCTTGTCGATGTACTGATTGAAGATTGTTGACGGCTGGTGAAAGTGTGTAGACGAGGTAACTTGAACGGTTGTAGTAGTAGCAGTAGTAGCAGTAGTAAACGTAGTAGCAGCAGCATTTATGTTTTTTCATAGACATGTTGCAATAGTGATAGGAGACATAGCATTGAAAGTAGTTTCAACCATTAACTGTATTTGTAGAGTTACAGACAACTGTTGCAGGAGTGTACTGTGCGGTGTTTCTGTAGTGTCTTCTGTGGTATTGGAACCTATGGAGCTCGCAAGTCTTTGAGTCCTGTTTCTATAACAGCAGGGATATAGTGGGGTATCTGTTGCTTGGTAACCAGTTTGTATCATGGTACTATTTACAGCAGGGATATAGTGGGGTATTTGTTGCTTGGTAACCAGTTTGTATCATGGTACTAATAATAGCAGGGATATAGTGGGGTATTTGTTGCTTGGTAACCAGTTTGTATCATGGTACTATTTACAGCAGGGATATAGTGGGTATTTGTTGCTTGGTAACCAGTTTGTATCATGGTACTATTTACAGCAGGGATATAGTGGGGTATTTGTTGCTTGGTAACCAGTTTGTATCATGGTACTATTTACAGCAGGGATATAGTGGGGTATCTGTTGCTTGGTAACCAGTTTGTATTATGGTACTAGCATGGTAACAGCAGGGATATGTTAGTGTAGTTGATGCCACGTAACTAATGACATTCCTCTATATATTGTATATATCACAAGGTAAAAAATACAATCATATGACAATCATGTTAAGTACCAAAACAGGGATATATTTGTATTTTGGCTCCAAGGTTGACCATTTGACAGCTTAGAAGAGAGCCCAAAGGCCCAACTATCCTCACCCTCAGACCTTCAACCTTTCCATAGTTTGTTTGTTTGTTGTTTAACGCCGCACTCAGCAATATTCCAGCTGTATGGCAGCAGTCTGTAATTAATCCAGTCTGGACCAGACAATCCAGTGATCAACAGCATAAGCATCAATCTACACAATTGGGATACGATGACATGTGTCAACCAAGTCAGTGAGCCCACCACATCATCCTGTTAGTCGAATCTTACAAGCATGGGTTGCCAATTCTCACCCAGATCTCCACAGGTCCTTCTGGTAGTGAGGTAGACGTAGCACTCTGGACTGACCTGATGTTAAAGTTCCTATTTCAGGTGTTGATGAAGGATATTATTACCCCGGTGTCCCCAGAGGAGGTGCACCAGGTCATCAAGAAGTGTCTGATATGTATATATACATTTATTTTTTTTCATTTTTTTAGAAGTAAGATACAAACTAATAACACATATTTATCAATGTGTAATTGTTTATTTAATCAAGCTTTGTGTCAGTCGTCGGGTTGCCGGGAAGCCATCATGTTGACTTTCTCTATCAGAATGACTGATGTCCGTCGGTGTCACCGGCAGTTAACGGATTTATTCTGGTGCGGAAAAACAATGGTATCTGAGCGCTTATTTTATTTATACCGCTAGTTCAACGCTCGGGTTTTGGAAAAAAAATAGATTGAGGGTAAGAGACCCCTTGTTTAGCTGTACTCATGCTGTTACCCTTACGAAGTTATGCCATCTAGACATCTTTCCAGTTATTGAACTTGCAAGTCTTTGATATACATATAGTAGGTGGAAAACATGAGCATGTGACACCTTTTGATGCCTTACAATTTTTTCCATTTTTGGCAAGGACATGTCAGGGTTAGTTTCACTATGTGAATACTGAGTTAGCCTATTGACATGATATGTATATATACATTTATTTTTTTTACATTTTTTTTAGAAGTAAGATACAAACTAATAACACATTTATCAATGTGTAATTGTTTATTTAATCAAGCTTGCGGCCATCATGTTGACTTTCTCTATCAGAATGACTGATGTCCGTTGGTGCCGGGAAAAAACAATGGTATCTGAACGCTTATTTTATTTATACCGCTTAAAAAAAAAAATAGGGTCGGCACCAGAATTCAAGGGTCAGTCGGGTAATCGGAACCACAACATATTTATTTTTAGGCCTAACGGAAGGTAGGATTAATGTTAAGGGCTTGCCAATTAAGTATGATGAAGGTGAAGTGATCTGGCTGTGTGTGACAACAAGCTGTTGTTGTCCATTCAGAAGGTTCACTTCGATCTCATATCGTATCCTTACCTCAATTAATAGTAAGATACTTCTATTCCAGGGTGACTGTTAATCAGACTACTATATATGTTCTTGCGTATGGTGTAAATACCAGATTTTGAGGCCAATTTTGTTATTAACAAGTGATTGTGTTTGCAGATCAAATTCTATTTTTGTGTTAAATCATTGGTGGAGCCAGTGCTGTAGATAACAGTATGCCAATTGAATGAAAGTTTAACTGACATGTGCATTTTCATTTCATATTGCATTTCTTGACAAAATACTAGTTTAACAAGACTATGTGGCAGTCTTAACAATGGATTTGTTGACTTTCAGAGTTAAGATTTTATCAGTAAAAACAAAAATAAGTTAGTTTAGAAGTAAATAAATACCTGATTCCTTTACATTCCCATAATTAGTCAGTCTTGGCTTGACAAATTAAATTTAGTAAAGGAAAGAATCATTTCTTTCTTCATTTTATCCATGCACATTATCTAGATTGTTGAGGAAAAGTGTTGTTTTTGTTGTTGTAAATAACAAGTTGCATCTATATACACAAGAAAATATGGTAGTTGAAACATGGCTTAATTAAAATGGACAACTTCTTTTAGAAAGATGTGTTCTTATATTTTATAACTGCTGCAAGAAAACTGTGATAATGAATGTCAGCCAAAGTTAAACCGCTATTTGTCCATTTCACATTGACCCATCAGGACGCAAGAAAGGTGATGACTGTTACGTGTTTCACTCTGTTGAAACAAATTCATAGACTGTTGCTTTTCGTTATTTTGCTAAACTAGATCAGTTCCAACATTTCGTAGCTGATTTTTCTGCACAACTGATAATTGTAGTTTGTGCTAAGTATTATGAGATGTACACAACCAGTTTTACAAAGCAAGTTCTCAAAGATTTTTAAGAATGAACATATCAGACTTGCTTTTTAAGATTGGAGCTGCATACTTTTTTCTTTGTAGTCAATATGTATGTTTTTTCATATAGATCTTTAAGTTATATTTTTTTTTCCACCAAAATATGGTAGTAAAAATAGACATTATTGAACCACAGCAACACATATAGGAAGCTGCATCCTGGACAACAAGATAGGGGCACCTGTTACCAGCAGTCTGTCAGAACCACCACATTACAGTGTGCTTATCATTCCCTTCCTTCCCCCCAGACACCATCCTTGTACTGTTATGATTCTTCGGAGGAATTGGTGGCCAGTACATGATGCTTGTCACTCCCTTTTGGGAAAGAGTTGGTGCCCAGTACATCATGCCTGCACTTGTCACTAGGGCTCACTAGTCACTCGTTCGCTCGTCACGCCGGAGGCCCGGGTTTGATTCCCCACATGGGTACAACTTGTGAAGCCCATGTCTGGTGTTCCCCGCCGTGATATTGCTGGAATATTGCTAAAAACGGCGTAAAACCATACTCAGCCAGCCTTTTTAGGGGATTCTGAGGAAGAGTTGGTGCCCATTACATCATGCTTGTCACTCTCTTTTGGGTGATTCTGAGGAAGAATTGGTGTCCAGTACATCATGCTTGTCGCTCTCTTTTGGGTGATTCTGAGGAAGAATTGGTGCCCAGTAGATCATGCTTGTCGGTCTCTTTTGGGTGATTCTGAGGAAGAGTTGGTGCCCATTACATCATGCTTGTCACTCTCTTTTGGGTGATTCTGAGGAAGAATTGGTGCCCAGTAGATCATGCTTGTCGCTCTCTTTTGGGTGATTCTGAGGAAGAATTGGTGCCCAGTACATGATGCTTGTCACTCCCTTTGGGGGGATTCTGAGGAAGAATTGGTGTCCAGTATAGCATGCTTGTCACTCCCTTTTGGGGGATTCTGAGGAAGAATAGGTCCCCAGTCCAGCTTGTCACTCTCTTGTTGGAATTGGTCCCATGGCTGTTACTCCCTTAACTGATCATTAGACTTGTCTCATGGGCACAAGGCGTGAAGCCCATTTCTGGTGTCCCCTGCTGTGATATTGTTGGAATATTGCTAAAAGTGTCGTAAAAGTAAACTCACTCACTTGTCACATAAAAGAAGTGCTACAACCTTAAGTAAGTGTGATCTTCCCTATTTTTAAAAAACTGATTCAGCAGAGATGCCAAACATTAGGATTTTTTGTCAAATCTTCATGATATTCACCAATATGTTTAAGGAAATTGTATGACAAAAAATGTTAAAATGGTCAACAGTAATTTAATTAATACAAGTTGATGGCTGAAATATTGCCACATATCCAAGCAGTTATTTCTCAGTTGCCTGTTACTGCGATGAGAGAGACTGGATGGTGGCATTCAAGAGGTAACTGCTGTATATCAGGGTCACTGTTCATCTGATGATGATTACAGTTCTTTTGTAATTACGATTTTAGACACCAGTTAGCTCCACTATTCCTAATTGCTTCCTACATCGGTTGGCATCTCTGGATCAAGCTGACTACAGGATGCAGCTAACTATATGGGTGCTGTAGATTTGTACAACGACTAAATAGTGTTCAGTATTAAATGCATGACTAGTACCATATAGTTAGTGTTTTTCTATAAAGATCAGTTAAAATATTTTTGGCCAGTATTTGTCGACCATCAGTAATCATGACATTTCCACTTTTCACAATATTATTGCTACATTGCACAATATGACACACAAGTTTACTTTTTTTTATGAATTTAAATCATGCATTTTATTCGCCCTTTTTTCACTATTTTCACTACTATAAATGAGCATGATCACAATCACAGTTTGTCACAAATATATCTTGTAATTGGAAAAACATGTCTCATATAAATGATTCTTCCCTCAAAATTTGAATATGAATATGATCAGTACTGGGATTTTGATGTACAAAAGATCTTAAACGTATTTTAAGCTGAACGGAAATGTATACAGAACTTACAATGAAGCTCTAACAGGATTTTCCGAAAACATCAGTTACAATTAAAAAGGATGAAGATGTATAGGATTGAAACACCTACCTTTTGTTTTAAAGAAATTAGATGAAGGATTTCTCTGTGAATTAGTTTGTTTCAGTCCCTACCACATTATGCTAAAGCCCTAATGAAGCTAGTCTAGATATCCTCAGGTTTCCTGATCTCCCATCTCACTCTTCAGATACTAAGTGTTAGTCTATCCGTGAACTTGAGAATATCGTTAAATTACTTGGTCAAGGCAGGACTAATGTCGCTATGACATGAAGTCTAGACTTGCTTGAGGCTCTTGTTGCACAATCTGACTGTGTATGTTTGCATTGTGCTGCTTCTGCTGCTGCTGATGATGACTGTAGGAAACTGTGGTAGGTATATCCCCATGACTGCCCTCCTTTCTACCCTCTCATTTCCATGTTTTGGTTTATGCTGTGTGATATGTTATTTTCCTTGACATTTATGTGCATTTTGGGGTTTTTTTGTAATCAAGTTTGTTTCTCACCTGTATGTGTGGCTGTGTTGGTGTAACTCGACGTGATTTCTCCTACCTTGATGTTTCTAGTTTATCTGTTATTTACAGATGCAGAGTTATGTCCCTTGCAGTGCAAGGATCCACTGCTCATTGATCAAATATAAGTAAAGAAATTTTGACCCTTTAGCACTATTCACAGAGTTTCAGTTTCTCTGAAATGGGGCTATTCACTGTGGAGAGTTACAATGCTTAAATATTGCTGAAATTTGCAGTTCACCCAAAATATTACCCTTTTTCTTTAGTTGCAAAGATGGACACATTTAGCTCTATGTAATTGAAATTATCATTCACAAATTGAAAACAGTATATCAAGTTGGTCCAGTGGGTGTTTGGAACATATTTACAAAATATACTGAAGGAAACAAACATGGGAACACCACTTCATGGCTCTGTTCCTTAATTTATTTTCAGATTTCCTCCGACAGCGCTATTCAAAGTTGGTGATGAAAACTGGAACAAATAAAGGAACACTTCAATTTGCCTGTGTTCCTTTTTCTGTTTCTCTCAGTATACATAACAAGGGTACTTGGGATTTGGCTTTCATTGCTACAGTGGTTGTATAGTGGGCATGTTTGTTAACTGAAATCTTTTCAAAGGCAGTTGGCACAGGCAATGATTTTCAAACTAGGTTATTCTAGAATGCAAGAAGTGTCTGGAGGTAGAACCCCATGTGACCACAGCTAGGTCACATGTACAACATCTGGGTGTGAAGGCAGCACATCCATATGGTAGTGTAGTCATTGATTCTTCGTGTCAGTAGACAGCAGTCTCATGCCAAGTCCACTGTTGTAGATGCCATGAGTGATGACATCTCTTCCAAGAAGAAGCTGGAGGACATCATGCACCTTGCGGAGTTGTGTATAGAGGTGTTGCAGCAGCACGAGGAGCATCATGCAGAGGTCAGTAGCACATCAGGAGGTTGCAGGGGTTCCTACAACATGGGGGATGCAGGGGTCTGTAGAAAATGGGGGATGCAGGGATCAGTAACACATGGGGATGCAGGGGTCTGTAGCACATAGGGGATGCAATAAACAAGGCTCAGTAGCACATGGGGGATGCATTGGTCTATAGCACATGGGGGATGCAGGGGTCTGTAATACATGGGGATGCAGGGGTCTGTAGCACATAGGGGATGCAGGGGTCTATAGCGCATGGGGAATGCAGGGGTCTGTAGCACATGGGGAATGCAGGGGTCTGTAGCACATGGCGGATGCAGGGGTCTGTAGCACATGGCGGATGCAGGGGTCTGTAGAACATGGCGGATACAGGGGTCGATCTCTTGCTAGTATGCAAGAAATGTCACTTTCATATGGGATGGATGCAATATTGACAAAGGGTGAGGATTTTAAGGAAGATATATCAAAGGAAGCGATTTCTGTATAGTGTAAATGGGTTCAAGTATGTTTGTGGGGAGAAGGGGTACTAATGCTGATGGAAACAGTATATGTGTTGAATACAGCTGGGACTGGGAGGGCACATCCTCGATAATCTCCAGGGTATACGTTCCGATAAATCTCCACTAGTACCCAGGATATTTCTACGGTTCAGCCCATTATTTTTATTACCTCCCTTTGCCTTTGCCTTTTCACTTGGGGTGAAACGGTATACCGCGGTATTAGTAGAACCGCGGTATTTTGTCTTTGGTTCACATTAGACAAGATCTGATTTGTGTGTTGTTGTTTGTTGTTGGTTTTTTTAAACATGAACTTTTCCTGGGACGTGGTCATTTCACTGCAGTAAATGCTGATGTGATGTTATGCTATATTGCCACACAGCAGCTGTGAACTCCAAGGTCCCAGTGATACTTTAATTCTTCTATTTTGTCATGAAACTGACAGTTTTGTTCATTCAAAATAGCAAAGATTGTGGTTATTTTTTTCCATGTTATTAAACAATGTAAGGTTTGGCTCTATTACCATATCTCATATACCGAACCATAACGGACCGAATCGAAAGCCTTGTACCGCAATTAATACGTACCGTACCGTGGTAAGAGCGTACCGTTTCATCCCTATTTCTCATAGTAGCCAATAAGATTAGCCGTTACAACCGAGCTTGTCAGTATCAACAAAGATGGCAGCCGCTCTGCGACTCAGATTTAGGGGAAAAATCATACAGACGAATATTGACAGGCCTGAAACCTTACAAAATTATATATGCAAGACCTCCTTCTACCTCTTTCAGGGTACCTCTGCAACAATTGTGTTGCTAAGGTTAGTACATGCCCGATGAAAAGCCGCCTCGACTAGCTGCTGAGACTGTAGTAAGCTGTAATTTCTTCGAATCAATTAATCTACCTGGCAATTCACCTCCGGCTCACAGATATTAGCAGGAAAGGATAACTAAATTTTGTTGTTTGGGTTTATAATTTTTAAAACTCGCGGAACACAAACACATGTTCATGTTGTTGATCGCTTCGCATCTATAAATAGATTATCAACACTAGCGCTGCGGGCTTTACTTATCCGTTGGCGTTGTTCAAATTTAGTTCAATAATCTGAAAACATGGGTTTCTATCTTTTAATGAATTAAGAGAATGGTAAATAAAAGCAGAAAATATTTCCGCCTACTACTTCATGCACCTTATTTGTCTGTACAATTAATGTAAACAAATCAATCACAGCATAACCTATTTGATCTTATTTGGAAATCTGAAAAGGTAATTGGGCTTTGTAAACAATATGTTTCCATGGATCTGCAGCAACTCTCAGTAAAGTGTCTCTCTTCAAAATCTGTACTCCATGATAAAATGACACTGAATATACGAAAATCATTTTTTTAATCATCATTTCCATTTAATTTTTCTATATGTACTTTCTTGTGGAATCCTAATTTACATACAAACTTCCACAATACTGGATTTCATGAACTGCCAGCTTATGTACAGGTATGTCACAGCACCAGAACACAAAGAAGATCCAAGATACAGTCTGCACCTGTACACAAACTGACCCATCTTCCAGAAATAGGAAACATGTGATGCAAAACTTTGGAACAGAGAATCACAGTTATTCTGAACAATTAACTAGCATTGAAATAGAATGTTACACAAAATACAAATGTAGATCTATTGTTTTTCATCAGATATGCCTAACTGTTAACTACTAGTGTAAATAAGGTGCAAAGAATATATCCTATGTTCAAAGCCTTCTGTCAATACAATTATTGCTTCCTAATTAAACAATGATAATCTTTGTTTTATTAGATCTGAGACCATATCCCTAGAGGACATAACACTGATTTTGATCTATTTCCTTTTCTGAGATACTTACTGGTGTCATAAAAATTATAGTAAAGTTGATTCAAAATTTGGTCAAAGTCATAACAAAGGTTTAGGAAAACAGACATGAAAAATGTCCTGAAGCCGCTCACCTCCTACAAACCAGTGTGCAATTTAATATGAAGCTCATTTTCCAAATAACCATCAACAAACCTTGAACAATTTGTCCAAATCCACCATCTTAATATAAACACTAGCTTTGGGTCAGTCTTCCAATAGTAGTAACCTCCTAAAAACTTATGATTTATCAGAAGAATTACATCAAATATGGGTGAAATATATGTTTCAATCTTTATTCCGTTACATGAAAAGTCAACTGAGATTTTTGTAAGTTATTCTGTTCCAGGACTAGATAATACCTGACCAGGGTCTGACCAAAACGTAGCCTTTGCTTTTTCAAATTGTCTGGATGTTGAAATAACTTTAATGAGTTATGACACTAGCAATCACTTTCAGAATTATCTTATTAGTAAATGTAGTATTTAAAAAAACATCTAAAAAGCAGAGCCAAGAAACTAAGTTAATACAAGTGATTGTCCTGTCTTGATATGTACTGTGTGTTTGTTTGCCTAGTTCTGCCTTTAAAAATCTAAAAATCTGATATGTCAATCAATTCAAATAATTATTTATTATTGATTAGATTATTATTAATTTTATTACCCTTCCACGCTTACTAAAAAAGTAAGATTCTGAAAACATACCTTGATATCATTTCCAGTGAATTAATCAAAATTACAGTTGTAATATTACTCCTAAAATGTACCATTATATGTGAATAATTTATGTGGTAACAAACTTCAAATAATGTTCTCATAATTAAGATATACACTTTATTTCACTCCATCCAATACTTCCAGAAAGTCACTATTCTTCTCACATAGTTTTAAATTCGATCGATCAACCTGGAGGGAAGGTAATTCAGTTCAAAGTCCCCATGCAATTCTTTTATAAAAATCTGAAATATTTAAAGCATGGTTTTATAGGCACTCATATGAACTGAACTTTTGATACTTGGATGTGTAATGATAGGCAACTGCTGACAATGACAATATTTCCGTTTGAATAAAAAAATATTACTCCTCGAATATTTTTGCTCTGTTAACAAGATACTGTAGGCCTTCAGATTGTGCTATGGAAACTTAAAACATCCAAAATGATGTGACAAATTGAAGAATATCTAAAGATGAAGGGGTACAATATCCGGCCACATTGTTCTTTCATGTAACATGTTTTGCTATTTCGGTTGACCCTAACGAAATGAAGATTTGTTTACATTGTGTGACTGACTTTCTCAGCCTGTCTCTTTTGAGCTTTGTATGCACTACCAACTCAATGCCTAGTAGTGACTAAAAGCGTTAAAGCAAAATCAATTTTGTAGTTACAAGAATTGTCCGATGTTTATAACACTTGCAAAGTCTTAAACTGCAATTGGTTAGATAAAAAAAGCGAAAATGAGTTATGATAGAAGCCTTGCGATTGGTACGCTCAACTTACCAGTGTAAGATTGGATAAAAAGCCAGCAAAGGGAGGTAATACAATTATTGGGCCGAGCCGTAGATGCATCCAGGATACTAGTGGAGATTTCTCAGAAAGTATACCCTGGAGATTATCGAGGATGGGGATGGCACTGATAGACAACTATCTAACATGTTTCTTGGCATTGTGTCTGTTCTTTGTTGTTAAATGGTGATGAAGTGGCCTGTGTATTTTCATCCTTTTTAATGTTAAAGTATATTATTGAACAAGAATACAGCTTTACTTGTATTGTAATGTCACAGTATCCTAGTTCAAATGAGTCATTAAATGCCTCAGGGCTCCGATTCTCTCCCGAATAACTGATGTGTGCTGTCCATTGTAGTCGGATGTGGACAGATCGCTGCGGAAGATGGCACAGAGTAAAGTGTACAATGTAAACAAGGACACACAATCTCCATTATATACTCTGTACATTCTGTTTTTGCATACAAATTCATATTCTTATCCATATTTGGTATTTATATGCATACTCCCTGTCAACTTTCCCGCTGCAATTGATACTCCTCTATTTGAATCTTGAAATCAAAATATTTTCAGTGGTCATATTTGTATTTAAAAGTTTAGGGATTAAAAAGGTTACTTTATCAGAAGAGTTTTTCACAATGGTTATTTGCCTGTGATGTGTCAGTATATTGAGAACCCTATGTACCCTCACTGGCAATACATGGTAACTGAGTTATGTAAGTCTGTAGGGTCCATTAAGCGGTGGAACTTTTGTAACTGAATGATTTTTCATTCTGAAAATATCAAGAAAATATTTCAAAAGTTTGATCGTAAGAAATGTACTGGTTTTGTCAGTGTTACCCTTGACCACACAGATGACTGTTCATGTGATGATATTAACTTGATGGCACCACTGAGCATGGCAGTGGACAATGCCTTCTTCCTATACTAAACTCCTCTGTCTTATGTGATGGTGTGCCATCAATTAGGGTTAATATGTCTGATGTGATGGTGGGACTCATCTAGGGTAATCTGTTTGATGTGATGGTGTGCCATCAATTAGGGTTAATGTGTCTGATGTGATAGTGTGACCTCAAATAGGGTTAATGTGTCTGATGTGATGTTGTGACCTCAACTAGGGTATTCTGTCTGATGTGATGGTGTGTCATCAATTAGGGTTAATGTGTCTGATGTGATGGTGTGACCTCAACTAGGGTTAATGTGTGATATGATGGTGTGACCTCAATTAGGGCTAATATGTCTGGTGTGCCACCAATTAGGGTTAATATGTCTTATATGGTGGTGTGCCATCTATTAGGGTTAATGTGTCTGATGTGATGGTGTGACCTCAACTAGGGTTAATGTGTCTGATGTGATTGTGTGTCATCAATTAGGGTTAATGTGTCTGATGTGATGATGTGACCTCAACTAGGGTTAATGTGTCTGATGTGATGGTGTGTCATCAATTAGGGTTAATGTGTCTGATGTGATGGTGTGACCTCAACTTGGGTAACTGTATCTGGTGTGATGGTGTGACCTCAACTAGGGTTAATGTGTCTGATGTGATGGTGTGACCTCAACTAGGGTTACTGTGTCTGATGTGATGGTGTGACCTCAACTAGGGTAATGTGTCTGGTGTGATGGTGTGCCCTCAACTAGGGTTAATGTGTCTGATGTGATGGTGTGACCTCAACTAGGGTTAATGTGTTTGATGTGATGGTGTGACCTCAACAAGGGTTAATGTGTCTGATGTGCCACCAATTAGGGTTAATATGTCTTATGTGATGGTGTGCCATCTATTAGGGTTAATGTGTCTGATGTGATTGTGTGACTGCAACTAGGGTTAATGTGTCTGATGTGATGGTGTGCCCTCAACTAGGGTTAATTTGTCTGATGTGATTGTGTGACTGCAACTAGGGTTAATGTGTCTGATGTGATGGTGAGCCCTCAACTAGGGTTAATGTGTCTGATGTGATAGTGTGCCCTCAACTAGGGTTAATGTGTCTGATGTGATGGTGTGACCTAAACTAGATGGGATGATCTGATTCTGTGATGGTGTGACCTGTACTTGTATCTCTGTATGATGTGACCTTACCTGGACAGGGATTGATCAGTATGATTTGATGGTGTGACCAAGGAGATTGTGAGTCAATGTGACTGACATGCTTCTGTGCCCTGTTGCCAGTCCATGTATTGTGTACCATGTCAAACACCAGTCATATTGTACCCAAACAGATTTGTCAACTCATAACTGTATATTTAAAAAATAAACCCAAATATTTTACATTTCGATATTCATGAAAGTTACCAAAATGGTAATAGTGAGACAATAAAACAACAAAATGAAGTCAGACCTTTTGATTACATTGTAAGTAAAGTTGACAAATCTGCCGTTCGCTTCACTGTGAGACCCAATAGTGTTGTGAACAATACCTCCTGTTTGTCAACTGAATATTGCATGGACAATGAATAATTTGCAACTGTGCTTTCTCCTCATCTGCTGTTAGGCGTTTCGATCGGTGAGTCTCATGCTCTTGTCCCACACACATCTTGTTACTTCAACACGACCCTTTCAGCGTGGAGGAGAGTCTCACATAATACCATGTCAAATGGTCCACGCTTAAAGGGTTAATTTGCTTGCTGATTTGTTTTTTCCTCTTTTGAAACAGCGCTGCTTTATGAAACGTCTTTGTTTTTTGACAGACATTTTTAGATAGATATTTCACATTTTTCATAGAATAATTTTCACAATTTATGCAGTTAGTGTTACTTACTAGAAAATCACAATTTTTACACATTTCATTTACATTATTTTTTTTTGCTTTTATTAGCTTGTAGGTTGTTAGAAGTTTATAGTCAAATGCATGACCAAAATGAAATCTAAAAAGCTGAAATAAGGTAAAATAATGTAATTAAGACATTGTTTTTTATGTTTATTGCAGGTAAAGCCAAAAGCTCTGTATTTTTCCTAATGCACATCCATGTAAATCTGCGTTTATATTATCCAGCTGTAATAAACTATGCACTTGAAACTGTATGTACACAAGCCTGACCTGATGCCTGTAACATTTGCATGAAGTTAGTCACATGCTTCCTGGAGTTCCCACTTTCAATTAATCTTTTCTTAGTCATCTAGACTCTGTGTTCCATCATCAAGTATAAAACCTATGTCAATTTGTAATTTCATTCTTTTTTTTTTGAAAAATGTTTTAAATTTAAAGCAAAATTTTAGTGACAAGATGTGTGTAAATTGCCTGTAGTGTACTGTGTTGGATTTTTTTCAATTTTTTGTTACTATAGCTCTGAAGACTGTTGAGTGTGATGTGATTTGCTCAGCTGAAATCTTCTTAACAATTTATCACTTTCTATGAAACAGTTGTTTCAATATTTATTAAGTATGGATATGATCTGTGTCTTGAGTTGTCATCTTCAGCCTTCTCCCATGTGGGGACCGAGCTGCTCTATGTTAGCAGTGGATAGACATCTGGGCTCCGTTCTGTGTTCTATGTTCAAGTATGTGATTGTCAAGGCCCCACAACCACTCTGGGGAACAGGGCCCTGGCCAATGGACAAGTCAGGAACTACATACAACACTTTCTTCATTCACACCACAGTATTCGCAATTTTTTAAATATATATGTGTGGATAATTTCTCCACAATTTAAAAGGAATTTACCCACACTCCAGTGTACTGATAGTGTTGAAATTATAATTGGTTTGAATAAGGACCAAAGTGTTAAGACCAGTCTGCCATTTTCAAGTGTTAATGTAGAAGATGTTCAGTCCCTACACTAGAGAAAACGGAGATGGCAGCTTGTTAGGACATGGTACTAGTGTCCAACTTAAACTCTATTGCTGTGTGTTCTGCAGGCGTTTGCCTGGTTTAGTGACCTGCTGGTGGAGCATGCGGAGATCTTCTGGTCGCTGTTCGGGGTGGACATGAATGCTGTACTAGAGGCACAGCCACCGGACACGTGGGACAGCTTCCCGCTCTTCCAGCTGCTCAACGACTATCTGAGGACAGATGGTCAGTCCAACATCAGTTCTACAATCTGTATACAGTGAACCCCTGTTAGTCTTGACATAGAACCACACCTTCAGTGAACCACACTTTCAGCACCACAATTTGTACAGTGAACCCCTGTTAATGTGGACCCAGCATCTCACTTTCTCTATACTTTGAACCCATTAATCTGGACACAACACCTCACTTTCTCTATACAGTGAACCCCTGTTAGGCTGGACTCAGCATCACATTTTCTCTATACAGTGAACCCCTGTTAATCTGGACACAGCACCTCACTTTCTGTATAGTGAACTTGTTATTGTAGTCCATTCCCCACAATTTCACCCCAGCTTTCTGGGCCTACAGATGCACAGGGACATTTCTCTGTAACCACATGTTTTATCTGTTAAATTGTTACTCCTATGAATAGAACCGTTTGAATAAACAGGGTTTCACTGTATTCTCACCAAATTGGCAATATTTTGGACACATTTTAACTTCCACTCTATGGTAATGGTGGAAGTTACAGTGCTTCAGTTAAGTGACATTTTGGATGATGAGATAAAACATTCTGAGGTTACATTCTTTCCTTGTCAGTCATTGCTTCCTAAACTAACTGAACTTTTGATTGGGCTTATTTATGATGATTTGCATACTTGCTGTGATTCACAAAACTAAACGCAATCGTTTGATGATCATCTATGCTGCCCCTGAACTCTGTAGAGTTGTGTCCCCTTGTTGGTCCCTTATTAGGGTCCTACTATTCTGGATTTGAATCCCACATTCACCTTGATTATGATTCTAAGATTGTCAGCATCAACCACAACTCAACTCTTTCAAATAGGATAACATCTGCATCGAAATTGTGCTCTCCTCCCATACATAGCTATCAGGGTGTGATGTAACTGAAATACTGATTAAAAGTGACACAATCAGACCCAACAGCCTTATTTACTCAGCTGGGAATATCTCAGGTGTACTTAAAGACATAGATTGAGACTCAAATAAACATAAACATGGAGATGGTCAGCTAACAAATGTGTCTAACAATGTGTCTGTATTGCATGATGACTTTGGTTCCCTAAAGACTGTGTCTGTATTTGTAGAGAACCTATGCAACGGTCGGTTCCACCAGCAGCTGAGAGACGTGTTCGCGCCCCAGGTTGTGCGGTATGTGGACCTGATGGAGTCATCAATTGCACAGTCTATACACAAGGGCTTCGAGAGGGAGAAGTGGGACCAGCAAGGGTAGGTAGTCATTGGGAAATATACAATGCTACACAGTCTTCTATATAATATAAGGAGGGATGTTGTTCGCTGTCAGGTTACCTTGGGTTCCATTGATGATGATGATGACGGTGGTGGTGATGGAGATTTAACAAGCATTAGTATTGTTTGAGAAATTGGTTGTAATCAACATTTCAGATTGTACCATTAATGTAAGTACTATTTTGTCAATTCATGCCTAAGATTGCAGACTGTTATAACATGCTTTTGGATTAAATTTATACTGTTTCATCTCTCACTCACTCACTTACACTGGCTTTTTTTCTTTCTTTTTTTGAATATATATCTTGTTGCTTCCAGGAATGGATGTGGCACGTCGGAAGACATGCTGTGGAAGTTGGACGCCCTGCAGTCTTTCATCCGTGACCTGCACTGGCCAGAGGAAGTGTTCGCTGAGCATCTGGACCATCGTCTCAAACTCATGGCCGCTGACATGATTGAAGCAGCAGCCAAGAGGTGATTATGCTTTCATGCAATAAGGCTGATAAACAAGTTAAATATTTATTGTGTAACTATGACTGAAGTACAATATGGAATTGTACCTGCCTACTCACTGACTTACAAATAATTGAGATAACCATCCTGACACAGTAGAATGTAGGATTACCTCAAGTATTCTGTGGCCTAAATATACCTCAGCTGAATTTCCTTTCTGCACAAGTGTTATAATTACCTATGCAACATCTAGATTCAATCATTGCTTGGAGTAGATATTGAAAACCCTGTGCTTTTGACAGTGGTAAATTTAGAAAAGAAAGAAAAATTAAACCTGGAGATTCCAGAATTGAAAAGGGTCAATTACACTTCCAAAGAGCGTCCCTTAAGATTCCTTCTGGTACACTTGCTTGCCAAATACCTTTATTTCCAACACCACATTCACGGTAGCAACGAGTACCATATTATCCGTCAGATTTTGATTCCATCTGACTACTTCTCATATATAAACTGGAGGATTTTTTTGCCTTGACCTCTTCACTGTTTGTCAGTTTTACACTTCGTGCAGCTTAAGGGTAGAAAGACCCTGTGGCACAGAACAGCTTACAATGAAACTTGTTTGGACTGCTAATATCTGGACCCAATTTAAGGAGTTTATTTGTTATCCAGAACCCTGAAGGCGTTTGAGAGTTGGTTGTGGAAGGGTGGGAAGGGAACAGACTACAACACTTACTCCGAGATCTGTACCCAGATGAATGTCATCATCGACTGCAAGAACAAGGTATGTGGACCAACATTGTCCAACACTTCCCTCATCCTGGCTCCAGCTTCCACACGGAGCCCGATCAGTCTTGATGTTTCTGTCCCATCGTCATGTTCCACATTCAGCGAATAGAAACGTCAAGTATAATTGGGCTCCATGTGGAGGTTAGAGCCAGGATGTGGGAAGTGTTGGACTTTGTACTTCAAAGGTTTATGAAGGTGTTTGAACACTTTGGGCAGAGTTCTCAAGTGCTTTGTACAGGGTTCTAGTGGGTTTAGGCTTTGGAATTTTGTCTCAATAATAGTGATCCTCTCAATAATAGTGTTTTAGTTACTTGATATTTCTACTTTTATCCTATTTAAGCACTGAAGCACTGGATCAGTATGTATTATTATAAGGTGACACAGTTGTCCTAGGTGCTTCTGTACAGAGTTGCATTCTGAGAGCATTCTGCAATACTATGACAGGAGTTTCAGATCCCAATTTTATCCTTGTCCTGGTCTGTGAGCACCCATGTGGATGGGTTTCACCGAAGTGGTGAATTTCTGTCTGCAACACTTTTAGGGCTAAAGTTAAAATGGCATGATCTTAAAGAAAAAATGTTCAAAGACAATACATAAAGAGTGAATGTCCAGCATCAGTACTGGCGTTTCACGACTACATGACCCAGTTGATGTGCATGTGACTTTGTTCCTTCATCAGGCTCTTCATCTGTGTGCCTTGGACAGTGGATCAAATATGGTAAGTACCATTTAACAGTTGCCTTGATTAATTGTTTTACAAAGTAAAATTTGCTTACATCAGTGTTTATGAGTTACAACAATCTTAGTGCTAGCACTGTGTTAAATTATATGAGTCCCAGCACTACAGTTTTGTTACAGCATGTATTATTTTAGTTGTAGAAATGAATTCCTTCCATCCATTCATCCATCCATCTGAAGACATTTTTTTTCAACAAATAATTTGAAAACTATTGGTTGGATTGTTTTCAAATTTGGGGACCACCTCCTTTGTGTAAAAGATAGGTGCAGTGCATATTTGATTAGAATTTTGTTATTTTGTCAAGAATTACAGCATTTTAAGAATTTGAACTTAAGTATTGGTGAAAATGTTTTCAAGTTTGAAAAACAGCTTCTTTGTCTAAATGAGAGTTGCAGTGCAATGTTTGGTCCAATTTTTAATTGTTGATCAGCTTAAGTTGGGAGTCATGTTCAGAGGTATCAGTGAGCCTTGCTCATAGTTTTGGCTTGTTGAATATACTTGAATCAAACTTCCAATGACTGCAGGCTATTCACACCTGTCTGGATGGGTCAGTTGTCTGAGGTACGACAATGTGCTTTGCAGGGTTGTGTCCCTTGGCACATCGGAAACTAGTGATTGTTTGTTTGTGTCAAGTTTCACTCAGATCATGTTCCCCCCAATCAGCACCAGACCAATGATCATAGGCTTCACCAAACATCAGAAACCAGAATCTTTTCAGGCCTATCTCCCACAGTAAGCTTACACATGGTGATGTAACTGGGATACTGGTCTAAGTGGTGATACACGTAACTCACTTACAGTTCCATAGGTGGGAAATCAAGTTCAGGGTTCCGATTCCTAAAGCGTTTGTAATGTTAAAACCATGTCGTAACTCTATAGATTACCATAGGCTTACGAATGCTGTAGCGCTTCGAAGGCTTTAAGGTTACTGGTTGGCTGCTCATGTTGCCTGTACTGCTTCAGCACCAGTATCACACCAAGATTGACGAGTTCCTGGAGAGAGAGTCCAGGTGCAGATGGTCAAGTGTCTTGTGGAAAAGGTGGGTAAATATAGCAATGCTCATTCCTCACATCTGCATGGGCTTTCCAGGTTGGAATTGGTCCTCTGTCACTGAATAGCCAAAGTGATAAGCAGCTTAATCATCGAGTAGTTCAGGTTTAAAGACTTGCTTAATCGTGTGTCATACAACAGTATGGGCTGTTGCTCAAAGATCATACATTGGGTTGCATAGTTCACTCCATTCACAGAAACAGAAGGGTCTTTGGGGTAGTATAAAGGTGAAAGTGTTCATTTATCATGAAAAAGAAATAGGTTTCCCCACATGGGTACAATGTATGAAGCCCATTGCTGGTGTCCCCTGGCATGATATTGCTGGAATATTGCTAAAAGCGGCATGAAACTAAACTCACTCACTAACTCACTCACCAGAACATACCATGGCAGATGATATGAGTATTTAATGCTTGTATAGAACTGTCGACTTGAGAATCTAACAATTGTTTCATGTATATCATTATGGTTGAGCTTTATGTGGATGTATATTTGAGTGTAATCTTGTGTTGAAAGTGCTCATTAGCCCCTTGATCCAAATGTACAGCAAGTCCACCATTGTTAATATATGTGTGTCATCCTGTGTTACAGTTCCTGTCTGTGCTGGAGTCCGTACTCAGCAAGCTGGCCAGATACGACGAGGGAACGTTCTTTGCTTCCATTCTCTCACTTACAGTTAGTACCCTTCCCCATAGTTAACTTGAAGTAACAACATTGTAAGTCTGTGGGGAGCATTGGGGGCTCTTTAAAGTAAGGCAATAAGCTTGGCATTCAGGATTTACTATGTTGGTCTTTCATTCAAGGCTAAGATTTGCTGTATCAGCTCAATACACATGCTTGTGGGTTTCATTTTAGGCATTTTTCACACTTTAAGCTGACACTAGTGGAGATATAAAATAATTTAAACCCATTTTTTCAAACCCATTTTTTCAAACCCAACTGACTGTAATATGGGTGCTGCCAATATTCATAAAATGCAATGCAAGATGTCAAGACTGTGTACATTGTGTTTTGTAGAAACCTGTAGATGAGCTGGGCAAGTCCTACGTTGACTTCATGCGAGGAAACCTGGATCAGATGAGACAGAAGATCACTGATGAGCTCTACACTCTCACCCTGTTTGAGGTAGATCCATATGTTCAGCTCACAGGCAGTGCTTTATGTCTTATAATTTTGGAAATTGTGTACATTAGCAGGCAAAGAAATGGTATGGAAATAAAACAAATCTCTGACTTCAACTTCAATGCAGTCTGATTTGGCTGTTGGTTGGTTGTGACTCTTATCCTGTTTAATGTGTTCATCCATTGCTCAAACTGATTGGTTACAGCAATGGTACAGTGATCAGATGAAGATGATGTGCGACTGGCTGACTGACAGATTAGACCTGTCTCTCCACCCCTACCAGCTCAACTGTCTCATGACCATCAACAGGGTAGGTCATCTTCTCCCCCTATAGCAATGTCCCTTTACCCCTACCAGCTCAACTGTCTTATGACTATTAACAGGGTGATTCTCCACACTACTTGTTATAGCTTCTGATAAAAGAATCTTAATCTTTTTTTGTAAGGATCAGCCACTTCAAACCAAATCCTTGTGATTTTTCCAACAGAAATGTTTTTCTGACTTCGAGCTGCAAGGTGTCCCTGAGAATGTTCTCAACTGCAAGACCTACACCACCATCTGCAGCCGTCTACAGGTATGTGATCTATGCTTGAAGTAACAGAAATACTGTTCCTGGTCTGCTCTGTAATATGTGCTCACCTTTTCGCAAACACCTGTTATCATCACTATTTCAATGGTGACAATCACTGGATTGTCTGGTCCCAGCTCGATTTGTTTACAAACAACATCATACAGCTGTAATACTGCTGAAACCAATATATCCTCATGATATAGTCACTATCGTACAATTGACTCTGCTTTTAGCAGAGATTTCTTATGGATGTGGAGGGGGTATTGCCGCTTCTATTGAAGTAACAGAAATACCATTCCAGGTCTGCCCTGTGATCTGTGCTTAAAGCAACTCAAATGCTGTTCCGGGTTTGCCCAGTGATCTCTGTTTAAAGAAACACAAATGCAGTTACTTCCCACCCAACTTCTGTTACCACTCAGCCCTCCATTTCCCCTTGTTCCTCTCCCCTTGTTCCTCTCCCCTTGTTCGTCTCCCTGTGGGGGATTGTGTGTCAGGCATCCAGCATCTCCTGCTTGACTCCCTGAAGAGATTCCAGCTTGGATGTGTTTGTTCTCCCAGATTTGATTTTCTTCTTGGAATAACTTGATTGGGGTAGCCTAATTGTTAAAGCGTTGGCTCGTCATGCGAAGATCTGTTGACTCCCCATGGGGCACAATGTGTGAAGCCCATTTCTGGTGTTCCCCTTGGATGTTGCTGGAATATTGCTAAAAGTGGCGTAAAAACCAAACTCAGTCAGTCCCAGTCTTTGAATTGAATATTGTTGATGTACAACTTGAATATTCATTTCTATAATCATGCCAGATTGTTGATCCTGGGTGCTGACTAAGTACTTTTTGTACAGGTTGAGGAGGCAACTCAGTCAGTGACACAGTCGGAAAGCAGTAGTCGCACGACATTCCTGGGGAAGGTGCACAATGATAGCGGAGATGATTCGGACTAGACGTCGATAAGTGTGACCGACCACGGCCATGATGGTACAGCTGCCAACGGTGATGGGGTATCTTGGTCAGTCTGACATTCAGGCTGTGCAGCGTCCCATGACATGGTCAATGTTGTCGATAATGATAATATGGTGTCAGTTTATTTCAATGTGTCAGTATGGACAATGAGAACAGAGTGTCTGCAGACGTCTTCACCAGCCACCAGTGTCTGCAGACACAACCTTCACCATAGTGCTGGACAGACCAAGCCACACTGGTCCAATAGGTGGATGAAGAAAGTCATGCAGTAGATTCGTCCTTGCTATTAGTCAGACAACGGCTCTCAGCATTAATGTAGTCAATTGCTATCATCTTCTAACTCATAACAATATTCCAATCACTGTCCATTGAGCGCTTTCTTCTGAAGGTGTGTGGAGTATGATCTCATTTGTTAGATTAACGCCAATTCACAGGTATATCACATTTTATAAGTTTGTTTTAGAACAAGGCCATTGAAAATGTCAACTTATATTACAGTATATTGTCACAACATTCCACCTGCCGTAATGTTTCATCAGCTGTTAAGCCATGACGTTCCATCAGCTGTTAAGCCATGACATTCCATCAGCTGTCAAGCCATAATGTTCCATTAGCCATTAGTTAAGACAAGCATTCCAATAGTGTTCCATCTGATGTTTCACTATAGTGTTCCATCAGCTTGTCCAAGTTAGACTAGCTCCTTTGGAGAAGCCTGAGAACAAAAGTCACTTGTTAGAAGTCAGTTACCTTACATGGAGCAGGAAACATTCACACCACATCGTTGAAAGGGTACGGATATATATCAACTGATCATCATGTCAGGGATGAGAATTTTCCACGGATTTGATCGGGCTGGGGTCATTCTTGATAATCGTCCGCCTTAGATCTGGCATGGGGACCTGTGGCTCCAAGGCCCCCCAGCTTAGTAGGACCTATTTTAAGACTCATTTCCCTATCATGTACAGTAGGACCTGTGTTAAGACTCATTTTTTTCACAATTTAGGTAAGAGCTTCAGAACAATATGCCTTCTACATATGGTAGCCCAGTCATTCATCATGCAAGTGGCACATCAAAGAGCTTCACTGTATGCAATTATGTCTCGCAGTTAGGCATAAAGAGTCTTTCAAAGAGTCACTCTAAAGGATAAAAGTCACCCAGTTAGGCATTAAGAGTCACAGTTTGATATTAAGAGGCACACAGTTAGGCATAAAGAGTCACACAGTTCTGCCTGAAGAGTCACACATATAGCCTTTAAGAGGAACACAAATGCATCTTTGTTGATACGACAAACTGTTTACCTTCTAATGACCATTGTGTTGTTGGAGTTTTTTTCGAATAGTTTCAGTGATTAAGTGTACACTGAAGTGAATCGTAGGCCTTTCCAGGACAGTTTTCTACCTGAGTTCGTGTGTGGTGAGTTGTAGTGACATGTGTGGGTCTACTCCAGCCACAGACTGGTTGGACTGCGCTAGTATCCATTCTGTTGTTACACAGAACGTATCATTCCAAGTGATATACAGTTTTGTTTGGAGAAATGTTTTGTTACATGCCATGCATTTTTATGATGTTTTGTTAACTGTTTTATGATAGTTCCTTGTCAACTGAGGTTAAACCTTCAACTTGTTGTGTTTTGTGTGTGTACTTTGAGTGAAAATGTGATACATGTGATCCCCAAATTCTTCTATTGTACAAGCTCATAGTTATTCTTGACATTTCTGTCAACTTACACTCTGGACCACATTCCTTGCAGGGTAAAGTTTTGCCTTTTACAAGGCCCTTTCTTTAGATATGGAGTTTGCAGAAACTGTACAGTTGAAGAAAATCTTTCTAAAGAATCCACTTGCTGTTTTGCAGATATTCTTCCTTCAGAAAATCGATGAGAAAGTCATTTTTTTTGTAATACTGAACCATACACACTTGTTATATCATGACACCCTTTTAAAGGAGAAAACTTTCTTTAAGTGTGTGGTTTCTTTAAGGTAGAATTGCATTTATTTATTTTTGACGAATTGTGATGTAAGAAATAACAGATTTTGTGTCATTTTCAAATCAAAATCCATGATGAACACAAAAATATATTAAAACTTAAAATTCTTAGCATTGCTACGAGATAAGTTTATGTCAGTGATGTACTGAATATTAAAACTACTCCATTCCTTCATGTTACTAGACATTTTCCATTCCATACAATTCATTAACATGGGAAAGTGGAAGTAAGGAATGCTGTGGTTTCGGCAAGTGTGGTAACCTGTATACAATATAGATGTGAGTGTTGACTTTGTGTGGTACTAGTGAAGTGTTGTTTACTAATGGTTGTTGCCTCAGGATTCAATTCACTATGTTGATTTACTGAAAATTTTATCTTCTAAAGTTTCAAGATTTTCAATGATTGTGAGAATTGTGCAATATTTTTTGTTCCTTAAAGATAACCTTATACAGTTGTCAGTTGTACAATTTACATTATTTATTCAATAGAGATTGAGTGGAAAGTCGTTTTTGTAAATAGAAACAGTTATTTATACTTGACAATGTGGTTGCATGAAGAGCAGGCACCTGCTCAGTAGAGGTTCTGTAGAGAAACCCACACTCCACAGCATTTCAGTGAAACAATATTGCTCATATTATAGCATCCCTAGATGCTGGTCTGTCAACCAAAAGCCTGGAGGTGTTTAATTAGCTAATGGTGACACATTATGTTGTTTGATTGAAATGCTCTGGTTTGTGGGCGTAGTTAATCATTGAGTTTTGTACTTGTTTCCTTTTTGCCAGATATATCAATGGAAACAACTGATATTATATTGTGTTAAACTGTGCATAGGTATACACTGGTTATTAAAGAGTATTCATTTAAGATATGCAACCACTTTAGTATTGTAGATGATGAGTTATGCAGTACAAAATGTTTGTTGAACTGTCTGAGCCATGCGTTGTTGACTGATGCCATGCCCAGTGCTAGTAGCCCTACCTGTTGTAGTCACCTGGCGCTCGCTCATTAGCCAAGGTATAGTTAGTTAAAGGCACATCACCAGCCCTTTATAACTCCCAACATCACCAGCCTTCTCAACTCCCTAACATGTCAACAGCAGCCTAAAGTCCCCATAACTGCAGCCCTTTAAAATCCCCACAACACTAGCCCTCAAAACTCCAAACGTCACCAACCATTTTAGCTCCCTCCCATGTCAACATCCCTCAAAACTCCCCACACCACCAGACCTCAATACTCCACACACCACCAGCCCTCAAAACTCCACACATGACCAGCCCACTAATATGTTTGTTTTGAGCAGTAGTTAATAATCACATCCTGGCTGTTTAAAAAATTCCAGTGTTTACCATGAAATGTTAAATGATTGGTTGATGTGTCGACAAAAACACAATAAACCCTGAATCTAACAAGTGAGACATAACATACAGCTCCCACAAAGTACAGCGACATCCTCTGCATCATGGTGCACAGTGAAGGAAGAATGTGCCTTATCCTGTCAGCTGACACGTTGGCCCTGCATTAACAGCAAACCTTTGTCCATTATACACATTTGTCAGCACCAAACCTGTGCTTCAGAATTTCACAAGTGTTGAACATCTGGGACCCACATCAACAGGTTTTCCTCTACATCTAGCTGACATGCAATGAAGACTTGAATACAGTAAGAGTTGACCTTAAGCCCAACTCACTCACTACATCACAGACACTCAAGATGCTCACACATTATTATACCCATAACATATCACCAACATTTATCAAGTTGCCATAGAGATGAGGATGCCGTTGTACAAAGCAGTCTTGGCGCTAAGGTGATTGTAACTACCATACCTTAACATAGACTCATGACAGTCTTAGCGCTAAGGTTGCTTTGAACACCAGGGCCCTCTATTTATCCGATATTTCCATCCCTATTAGTTCTGTTTCATGTGCAAGTTGCAGGTGTATCTAGTGTGATGTATGTCTGCCTACCATGTTCCAGCTGGTGATGTACCTTTAAGGCATTGCTTCCTGCTTTCCTGCCCAACACACTAAGGCATCTAGTCTTGCACCTTGGCATCTAATTCCATCCTCAAAGATCACAGGCCCCCTTCATGTCCAAGCCTGCCAGATCTGTCACAAGTCCTGTGGAAAATGAGCAACAACTGGAAAACTGGGAAATGTCTTGGTTTCTTGACTTCGAACTGTCTTAATTTCTTGACTGGGAACCATTTTAGTTTCTTAATTGTGAACCTTCATGACTGGAAACCATTTCAGTTTCTTAATTGTGAACCTTCATGACTGGAAACCATTTTAGTTTCTTAATTGTGAACCTTCATGACTGAAAACCATCTTAGTTTCTTAATTGTGAACCTTCATGACTGGAAACCATTTTAGTTTCTTAATTGTGAACCTTCATGACTGAAAACCATCTTAGTTTCTTAATTGTGAACCTTCATGACTGGAAACCATCTTAGTTTCTTAATTGTGAACCTTCATGACTGGAAACCATCTTAGTTTCTTAATTGTGAACCTTCATGACTGGGAACCATCTTAGTTTCTTAATTGTGAACCTTCATGACTGGGAACCATTTTAGTTTCTTAATTGTGAACCTTCATGACTGGAAACCATTTTAGTTTCTTAATTGTGAACCTTCATGACTGGAAACCATTTTAGTTTCTTAATTGTGAACCTTCATGACTGAACCTTCATGACTGGGAACCATTTTAGTTTCTTAATTGTGAACCTTCATGACTGGAAACCATCTTAGTTTCTTAATTGTGAACCTTCATGACTGGAAACCATCTTAGTTTCTTAATTGTGAACCTTCATGACTGGAAACCATCTTAGTTTCTTAATTGTGAACCTTCATGACTGGGAACCATCTTAGTTTCTTAATTGTGAACCTTCATGACTGGGAACCATTTTAGTTTCTTAATTGTGAACCGTCATGACTGGGAATTCTCATTACTTTCAGTTTCTGAACTGGGAAGTGTGTTTCGTATGAAAGTCATGACTGCAAGCCATTTGTTGTCTTAGTTTCTTGATGGGAACAATCTTTAGTCTTATCTTCTTGAAGGAATTAGTTTTGACAAGTGCAATATGCATTCATTTAATACATTAAGAAATTGCACCTGCAGCAAGAGGAGCCTGAATTGATTCTAGTGAGAAGCAGACAGTTCATGTTCTCATGAATTATGTTTCCCTGGGCCATCCCTTAAATATAATTTACTGAGTGCTGATATTAACATAATGTGGTAACTTCTGTTTATAATGATATCAATTACTTTAGAAATGGATCTATGTAAGTCGTGAAGCCTGACACATGTTACTGTCATGCCTTCCTGATGCTGATGCAAGTCCCACTGGCTCACTCATAGTAGTCAAGCAGTCAGATTCAGATGCTCACTTAATTTGATGCTACTTGTCTGGGAAGAAAAAAGTACCACAAAAGTACTCGATATTCACACATCATCTACATGATCACTATGTACCGTATTCTCCATAATTAGCATCCAGGTGCATAATTGATGAAGGGACTGTTTATAGACACCAGTCCTGGGTTTGTTGGTATTTCCAGTGTTAACAAGTAGGGGGTTGTGTGTTTACAGTGGGAAGAAAAACGGAGCTCAATGCAGCACGTGTAATACACACCCTCTTCAACACAATTGTGTTTTCTGGGAAAAGAGGGTCTTATACACAAAAAATTATGGACTGACATATGAACATTTGGGCTTCAAAAGATTACCAGCGTGTAGACAGTGTATGAAATAAGCCATAAACCCAGCCAGTTATTTGGGCTGGTAACTTCAAAAACTTACCAGCCCAGAAGAGATTCAACCAGTCCTTCTTATATAATAGACAGTACCATTTGACACGTTATCTGAATATTTTTTTTTCACCCGTTCAGCGGGCTGGCTAGCTGTAAAATTAGACCGTCCGACAGAAATCTAGCCCGTGTCAGGCGGTCGGACTGGCCTTATTTCATACACTGGTGTAGATCAGGAATTTGGTGGCGGTGTTAATTGAATGGGGGCGCTGTATACAGTGAATATGGTAGGTTCTTCCAGATGAGCTGGCCAAGCTGGAGGTATTCATCTGTTACTGTTCATCATGTTGACCCTAGATATAGGATATGTAACTTATGTAAGATTTGTAGATTATTGTATATTTCCTAGTGTAATGATGTAGTGTAGATAGTCGACACCTACCCGTCAGTGTAGACTTAATCTTTGTATATAGTAGAGCCAGAATCTCGGGAGGCGTTGCTCTTGTTAGGGGAATCGCTGTTAGTGTTGACACAAATATTCTATCCCAGTAATAATACATTATTTAATTTATCCATATATCTCTTCAAACTTCTCCAAGAAGACCTTGTTGGTGCATATTGACTTGTTAATCCATGTAACTCGGTAGCCTACTGTACTGTTATAGATTTCAAATATTTCTGGATATTTATCCAATATTGTTACAGTTTTATCATGTAGCCATGTAATCTTATTGACAACTGCCACGATAGTTTGAGGTCATGTTAGATAAGGCGAAAGTTTACCAGCTATTAAGTTCTGTCTTTGGTTCCGACTATTACCAGTGTGAGTCTTCAGCAGTACATCTAGCATCCATGAGTTCTGTTATGCATGAGATACTGTTATTGTGACTCGTCCCATCTGTCTCATTGTTTTCGTCAGATAATTGTAGATTTTTTATACAAGTTTATTATGTTTTCCAGAAATCCAGTTTTTATTTCATGAGTATTATTCTTTCAATGGTTTGTGATTATTTTTTTATTTATACTTTACAGAAGTGTTTATGTATTGACATGCTTATGTTTGAAAGTTGGACTCTATGGCTGAATATATTTGTATATTATATATACTTTTTCTAACATATTGCATTATTCAGATCTGTTTACTATATCTCAATATATATGTATACATATGAATCCGAGGAAATCAGACACCATTTAGCATTGCCTTATGCAGTGATACAAAGTCCAGAAAATAATTCCTTGTAAATTTGAAAGAGAAACATTTATTTCCATGACATTAAGGACTTTACATTTCCTTTCTGTTGAACTTTGTATCAATATTGACTTTAATTTATTCTTTGTGTTTATTTTTGTAATGTATGAAAGAAATTGGTTGCTCAAATTAAGGATGTTCAATCAAGTAGGAACCTGATGTGTAACTGAATCAGTCTCAGCACTATTTGCTGATCTGAATTCTCTTTCGTGTTCAGAGATTCTGTATCTCATCAAACACTGAAGAAATATTAAACTGCAAGATGTTTTTCAACAATACATGATCATGTTGGTCAATATCTGTCAATCTGAGAGAACATTTGGAGGAAAAAATCATCAGACACATACCACGTTATCAAATCAATAATACTTGAGATTCTGTATAGTGAAAGTTTGGTACCTCTGACACTGTTTGAAGTGATTCTTCTTTCTAAACTTATAGTGGTCTTCAGACTATATAGGACTAGTAATGTAGGTGATGTGTCCTGCACAGTTTAGTGTAACTCAATACTTCACGCTACGGTATCTTGTCTTTCTCTGTGTCATCCTCTATGTTATGTGTAGATATTAGGTGACCAGGCTCTTTGCCTGAACTCTCCAGGACTCCACACAGATTGGGGGAAGAGTTTTGGCTCTCGTACTAGGTTACCAGGGCTCTTTGTCTGGACGCTCCAGGTCTTCATTACAGGCTGGAGTAGAGTTTCTGGTACTAGGTCGCCAGGCTCTTTGCCTGAACTCTCCAGGACTCCACACAGATGGGGGAAGAGTTTTGGGTCTGGTACTAGGTCGCCAGGCTCTTTGCCTGAACTCTCCAGGACTCCACACAGATGGGGGAAGAGTTTTGGTTCTGGTACTAGGTCGCCGAGCTCTTCGTCTGGACTCTCCAGGTTCCACACAGATGGAAGGGGAGCCTTGGATCAGGTATTTGATAACCAGGGCCTAGATTTTCGAAGCTCTCTTAGCGCTAAGATAGTCGTAAATTAATTCTAATGTATGGCACTTACGACTATCTTAGCGCTAAGAGAGCTTCGAAAATCTAGGCCCTGGGCTCTTTGTCTGGACACTCCAGGGGCTCCACTGATGCAGGAGTCTTCGTTCTGGTACTAGGCAGCGATGTGATTTAGACAGTAACCCCGCTCAAACGATGCCACCCCCAGTAGCTACACATTCAGAACCCTACACTTTCCCCTCTCAAGGCATGCTTATTGTTGAGTTCATTTACTTCCTGTTCACTATTTATCAATATGCAAACTAACTATACCTAATGTGCAATAACTTGTTTTCAACTTGCAGATTAAATAAATAGCATTCCACAGTCGAAACCATGTGTTGTGGTTGTCTTTACAATGTCAGAATGGTACCGACTCAAACCAGGATTTGAATCCTCACTCATAGGTGGCATGCTCAAGGGATGCTACTCTGCACAGCAAGCACATCGAGAGAGTGAATGAGTGAGTAGGGTTTTACGCCGCTTTTAGCAATATTCCAGCAAGAGGTGGGACACCATTGTACCCATGTGGGGAATCGAAGTGGGTCTTCGGCATGACGAGCGAACGCTTTAACCACTAGGCTACCCCACTGCCCCAGTGAGAGAGAGATAAACTAGACTTCCAGAACTCTCGTCATTCCTGGCACCAACCACCAGAGATTATCCAGGCCACTGAAGTAAGTCAGTTGGGCTTTACGCTGTTTTTAACATTATCCCAGTTATATCACATGTCCGCTAAAAGTTGAAGGAAGGCCCAAAATTTTGCAGGTCTCGTATGTTCCAACCCGTCACAGCCCTGACTAACCTAAGATGATACTAACACCGTTTAATAGATGTTTGTGTTGTAACCAATCATTGTACTCTAAATAGTTCACAACATAAACTCTGCATAAAACAACATTCACTCAACATGTTATATTTGCGGTTATACTTTCTCAGTTGAAATGGCCTCGGCATTGTGTTGACGATACACTTGATGCAAACATATGTCAAACAATTACTCGCACATAGGTTGTCAGGTCACACTGCAAACAGGATATTTTGGTGAGGAATTGTCAGTGCTACCGATAATTCCCTACTAGTCATTTTGATGTAAAGAGTATGAAATATATATTTGAAGAAGAAAGCCAAAAGAAATTCATAGTATCAACGAAAAGGATATGTACCAAATATCAAAACCTGTAAACAAGGTCCATGCCACCATATGACAGAGAGTGAGTTGGGTTTTACAGTTACTTTTAGAAATATTTCAGCAATGTGGCGGGGGACACCAGAAATGGGTTTCACTCACACTACCCATTCGAGGAATCGACCCCAGGCCTTCAGCATGGCAAGCGAACACTTGAACCACTGTGCTACCCCACGGCCCCTAATGAAGACAGACCTGATGTCAGACACTACAACTATTTATTCAGATTATGTACAAACACTGACAGCATCAATGCAACATTTTCCTGCTGAACCAACTGCTTCAACTTACAGACAACCTGGCATATATATTTAACAACAGAAGCGTTTCCACAGAAACAAACAAAAGTCAGACGAAAAAATATGTTGGGGAAAATTACTTGAGTGTGGCTACATTTTAGTTTTGGAACTTGTGTACAACACCATATTTGCTATGTACTTTAATGGTGTCATAACAAGGTGAAATGGATATATATAATGGAAACATGTAAGAATCTGGCTTTTTTTTCAACTGTTTGAGTCTCAAGGTTATACAAGTTGGTATCGATGAATATCACACCAACAGTTCATGAAGTTGTTTGGTATCTTATGTAAAGACCAACTGTGTTCCAGTTGCATTCATCCATGTCTTCATCCACCAGCAACAGAAAGGGACAATTTTATGTGAAACTGAAATCTGGAAGTCTCCTCCGCTAGCTGAGAAGGATGATGAGAGTATGGATTCTTGTCAGAGCACCACTGTCCACAAACACATGAGTCACATGGTCACAGTTATCTAGCCTGATGATGGTCGTTGACCGTCACCTATCTGGCCCTGACCGCGGTTGACATCACTAATACACACCCACTCTCCTTCAAGCGACTCCTTCCATAAACTCACCTACAACAAGAAAAACAGTCAGTGAAATAAAGACTGTTGCCATTTCATTATTCCAAGTTTTATGTTTGTTTTCTGTTTATCACTGAACTCTGTAATATCCTAGCAATATGATGGCAGACTGTATATAATCCCATTGGACCACACAAACCAGTGATTGACATCATGAGCATCAATCTACACAGCTGAGATATGATCACATGCATCCAACATGTCAGTAAGCCTGACTATCATTGTGACACAATAGCAGTGTTACGATGATGGACTACTAGTAGTCAAGTTTGGTCCAGACAGACATTTTGTGCATGGTCCCACCTCAATAACATGCAGTCATGGAAGCAACCAGGGTTGACACCCGATGCAATTTATAAGTGCTGCATTCCATTACTGGCACCTGTTAGATAACTATACCATTACTGGGCACCTGTCAGATAACTATCGCATGGAACGTTGATGATGTGGAATGCAACAATCAAAACTCAATACTAGCAGGTTATTGGGTAAATCAGTGACCTACTTTGTTATCTCCCCCTGACACGGCGAGGATGTTCCCCGTGGTGGACCAGCTGACATGCCAGACAACATCGTTAAACTTGTGCAGGATCTTTGACGTCCATGTGTTGCTGGTGCCATCATTTGTCCAGATCATCACACACGACAATCCTGTGAACACGATGCTATGATGCTCTTGGGGAGGCCTATTGACGGGGCCCAGGCGACATCCCGCACCCAATCACTGTGGGCCTCCAGCTTCTGGTCTTCCACCCACTGGCCATCTTCCTCTCTGTCACACAAAAGTGTAAATACCAAGTAAGTGATCTGTACCTGCACTTACTGTCATGAAGACTTCAACTTACAAATGCAGACTTGGTACAGGGACACGCAAACATAATAAGTCTTGCCCAAACTGATTGAATAGTTTCCTGAAACTTTTCATTGACTACAATGGAAAACATTGAAGACAGGACAGGTACTCTTGCATTCTTTCCTGGCCAGGGTTGAACTGTGTCCTATATCTAGGCAATGTGTCATGACTGGCATGGTTTAACAACAGTATGCTATGAGATGTCTTCAATAAAAGTATGGGAAATAATCTCTCAGGCCGAATAGGGCGCGTACAAAGTGTGCCTTGCAATAAAAATTACTACATGTGATGATTTACTTATTCAACCGTATGCGGCTATATGCAAAGATTATGATTGCTGCAGGTAACTGTCAAAAAACATACGGTGGAAATAGCAAACAGTCTGTGATCCACTAACGACTGATTAAAAAAATACCAACTTTAAAAACAATGATGTAATTTTTAATCATATATTATTGCTGTTGTAGATATATTTATGTTTACAAATAGATACAGTACAATTATCACTTTGGTCTAATGGTCCTCACCTCCACAATTTGACCAGATTGTCACACCCCCCAGACACGAATCTCTTCACAGGTTGTTGACGAGCTCCCTGCTCAAACAGTGCATTTGGGGCTGTGGCCGGAGCCCAACTCACAGCATTACAACCAATCTGTGAAGAAGACATACACAAAACTATCAGCAGTGTACACATTAGACAGCAACATACATAAACTATAGGCCATCACTGAATTTTCTCAGTATTACACGCATTTTAACTTTTTCCCTACTTTAACAAACACAATTAACAATATCCTTTTTCTACACATTGCAAAATATGCAAAGAATAGTTGTTTACAATGATAACAAAGACTAAACATCAATATAAACAACTTACTGTGTGTGCATTATTGATTTTCTTGGAGTCCCAAGTTCCATCACCTGAAAGAGATTTTTTAAACTCATAATATGCAATCATCATTTGACACACACACAAGAATTGAGGTATTTCTCACTTGAAACAGAAGACATCCAAACTTACAAAAGATGTGGCCATATGGACTTTACCAATGATCACATAACATTTGCCAAGCAATATATTTCCCATATCTATCAATGAATATCCCCCATCACTGACACAGTTTCTAGTCCTCTAGTGCTTCTGAAGCTGTCAGAAAAATTGACCCTAAATGAAAGGGAAGTAACTTCTGCTGACAAATTATCTCCCCTGTTTAGTTACCTGTGCTAGAGATGACTGAGATGGACCCATCCGAACTGCCACACACCAACATCAGGCCGAACTCATGTGGAGCAAAACACACTGAATTTACTGCAACATCAACCAAGGAATAATATTATCTACCAATGAAAGAATAGCTGACAAATGGTGTGCTGCTTCATTCGTCCCACTCAACACTATGCCTCATCCAAGAAAACAGCCAAATAATCAAATCAAAACAAAACATAACACAGAATGTCAATTACTGTTAAAATGGCTAACACTAAATATCAAATGTTTAGTTTGAAAAACAATTAAGTGATGGTCGTTGCTGATAGTTACAGATATGATTACGATCTCATTTTCAGATTTCAAAACACACACCTAGCCTAAGGCAACTTTGCCACCAGTGTAGCTTAAGAATAGACATAGAAAATGGAAGGGAAAGTCTTCATCATGATAACAAATGGTGGCTGACCTGATGAGTCATGGTTGGTGTATTCGTAAAGCTTGGCCCACGTGCCATTGGTCTCCTTCCAGATGATGACCTTCCGGTCATAGCCACAGCTGGCCAAGAGGTTTCCGAACATTGGGTGTGCCCATGCCACCTGCCACACCGGCCCTTCATGTCTGCAGCCAAGACAGAGATTTACCATACAACAAGGTGAGGTGAGGTGAGGTGAAATTGGGTTTAACGTCGTGCTTGAGAATATTTCTCTCATATGACGACGTGCACGCATGTGTATGTGTATGTGCGGCTGCTTGTACTAGCCCAGACTTAAGCTGGTTTTATAATGCTAGCCCACTGAGATACCACGCCGCAGTGAACATGGTGAAGCATGAATACCCCACTCAGACACATTATACTGACTCCGAGCCGACCAGTCCTTGTTGTACCCATTAATGCCGAACGCCAGGCAGGGATGGATGCTCTAAGTTACTCTAACCACTACACCACGGAGGCGGTCCCATACAACAAGGATGTAACAGTGGCAACATAGACTACGCCAACATGCAGGTGTCGGTAACAAAGGGAACTAACCAAGGTGAGATATGGCAGGTTTTGTATAGCTTTTACACATGTTGATACCAGACAATCAATGTTGCAGTTCATGGGGTATGACCGCTCAATGCATGAAGTTGCTTCCAATGACCAGAACAGGTATTACCAATTGTAAAGAAAGTTGAAAGGGCTGTTTACTG